AGGCTGATGTTTATTTTGGGCTGCGCCGAGTTTAATACTTCCTCTGGCTGATGCGCTGATACCCTGAATGGGAGAGCCTGCTGGAATAAAGCACTGAGATGGTCTAAACTGTCTGTAATTACCGCTTTCCTGAAACACTTATCTGGATAACTGTTTATTTCCACTGTTATTCATTTTAGGTGTATATTTATGTGTCGGTTTGAGAGAGTAGAAAGGGAGAATGTAGGAGGAAGAGAAAATGAATAACAAACTTTGTGGGGGGGAGAAAGGAGCAAAATGAATGGGTGAGAGGAGAAATGAAAGGCAAAGCTAGGGGGTTCGTAATGGAGGTGCTTTGTGAATTGAACTGTCCATAAATGCATTCTTTTATAGCAACCACTGTGAGGTTGGACAGACTTAGCAGTGTGAGGAATAGCAGCGTGTGACTGTCTTAGAATACATGACGCGGAGTGTTATTCATTTTAAATAATTTTTGGTTTGTGTGCATGTGAACGGTCACACATTTAGGATAGATTGGGAGTGGTCTTTTTGTTGTGTAATCCAGCTAATGTTAGTATGCTGGCAAATTTCTCGTTTCCAACCTGCCCAGTTTCTGTTAGTCCAGTTCGGTAATGTAGCACTTTAAACCGGAAACATAACGTTATGTAGCAGCTCTAAACAAAGAGCTGTAATTTCTCATTACAGTTAATGGGATTTTTGCAAACATTCTTTAAAGCGTGTCCAACTAGCAGCTTTTGCTACATATAAATGCATTTGTGGGTGGGGCATGGATAGGTCAATTACTTCATGAGCAGAAGTGAGGGAGGAGTGAGCTAGAGGATGAAAGAACAGAGCGAGGGAACAGGAGGAAGACGGGTGGAGGGCTGAGGAGCTTAGCAGCAGCAGCTCACAGCGGTGCTTCTCAGGAGTTTTAATAACCTCTCACACTGACCTTTACTGGCATTCAGAGAGAGCGAGAGAAAGCAAGGGAGTGAGAGAGAGAAAAAGAGGGAGCAGGAGACAGAGAGAGGGAGAGAGGGAGAAAGCGAGGGGGAGAGAGAGAAAGCGAGGGGTAGAGAGAGAGAGAAGGAAAGAACAGAAGAGATGGAGAGAGGGAGAAAGAAAGCAAGGTGAGAGAGAGAGAGAAGGCAAGGGGGAGACAGAGAGAAAGGGAGAAAGAGAAAGCAAGGGGGGGAGAGAGAGAGAGAGAGGGAGAGAGTGAGGGGGAGAGAGGGAGAAAGCAAGGGGTAGAGAGAGAGAAGGAAAGAAGAGAGGGAGAAAGAGAAAGCAAGAGGAGAGAGAAGGCGACGGGGAGGAGAGAGAGGGAGAAAGAGAAAGCAAGGGGGAGCGAGAGAAAAAGAAAGAGAGGTGGAGAGAAGGAAAGAAGAGAGAGTAAGAAAGAGGGAGAAAGAGAAAGCAAGGGGGGTTGAAAGAGAGAAAGCAAGGGGGGGAGAAAGAGAGAAAGCAAGGGGCAGAGAGAGAGAGAAGGAAAGAGGAGTGAGAGAGAAGGAAAGTGGAGCGAGAGGACAAGGGAGAGGGAAGACAAGAAAATAGAGAAAACAGAGAGAAGACGGAAGACGGAGATTGGGATAGTGTGGAGTGAGACCAAGTGAGAAAGACAGAAAGAAAAGGGAATGTGAGAGAGAGGGCAAGGGAGAGACAGACAGAAGAGAAAGGCGAAAGAGAAAAGGCAGGGGGAGAGTGAGAAGAGTGAGAGAGAAGCCAGGAATATAGAGAGTTTGGCTTGCTGCATCTTGAGCTTGGTGTGGACGTTATTGGCCTATTAATGCATTTATGACAGCAGTGCTATAGATATGGGGCTCATATAAAAGCTTTTTTATGCTCACAAACAATAAAATCGCACATTCTGGCATTAAAGTGGTAACTCGAGTTTATTGTAGTCATTCAGACATAGCCGGTTTTCCACTGGCAGTACAAGGCCAGTGTAGCTAACATACGTCAAACCTATGTACATCAGTTACCATCTTGAGCTTGGAATAGATTTTATTGGCCTGTTAATGCTTTTATGATTATATTATTATAAATATGGTGCTCATATAAAAGCTTATGTTATGCACACAAGCCACACATTTTTTGTGCCCTATGTGTTTAGTGCTAGCTCGGCCCCCTGTTGTTTGTCTCGCTGACTGATGGGCAGTTGACATGCTGTGACTTCAGGGCTCACAGGCTGAGGTGACGCACCAAAAACCTAAAGGACACTCGCTGCCTTATTCATACAGACAGTATGTCAAGTACTCCAGGCCTCTGTGGATATGTATGTGACAGCTTATTCTGACACTTTCAGCATAGCATTAAGCATTTGGTGGGTGAGAAAAGTAGAGGTCACTTAGGCCCAATCCCATTTCTTATTTTTACCCCTACCCCTTGTTTTCGAGAGTCAAATTGCCCCTTGGAACTGAGTTACAAATTGTAGTGGTTGAAATATTCCTCTATGAAATGGGACGACCCTCAATAAGAAGAACACTACTTCATTAACAGGCTACTAGCAGTGCTCTATAGGCGACCCTGCCAGTCTGCAGTGATAGCAGAGGAACAGTGAAGTTCAGCAACCTCGCTGCTGGGCTTTAGTTACATTTAGGGCATCATATGCCTTCAAAAAGGGGGATTCAACAACAATTAGCATCGCCCACGCCTAATTCTTCGGTGATATGAAGCTGAAGTCAGCTATTTGCCAGCTTCTCAATCAAATTTTCCTGTTCCACCTTAAATGACGCTGCAGTTCTGACACCTGAGGCGCCAGAATGTAGTTGATACACCATTTAAGGTGGAATGGGAAATTTAGCTAGCTGGCTACCAAGACATCAGCATACTACTAGCGATTTTCTATGCTTGTTATAAAGAAAAGGGCCATAATACATTGAAACAACATTAGACAACATAATACAATGGATATTGGAATTTTTAACAGAGAAAATACTCACATTTATGGGTTTCTTTGGTCGCTTGCACAGTCTTCTTGCTGTTTTTTTCTTTTTTCTCATAACACTCCGTTTGGGGAAAAAAAAAAAAACTCAGTTTGGAGAGCCATGTAGCCCTAACACTTCGCCCTACCCCTCTATCTCAACAACCACCGGGACACCCTACCCCTAAGCACGAACACGCAAAACAAAGGGGTGAGGACTAAGTGGTAAGGGCCAGGGGTGAAATGGGATTGGGCCTTAGCCTGCTTTGTAGGTGTATTGGATAATGTTATACCTTGCTTTGTATTCTTAATATTGACAAAAATTGTCATTGGCCCTAAAGGGGAATTCCACCATTTTTAAAAATTCAGATCTTTAGATATAAAAAAATATCATTCAGAGTGGTTTGATGCGAAGCGGTTCATTGTACAGAAACTTATTCAGATTTTTACAGTGGTGCTGATAGGAACCACTGGGGTTCTGGTGTTTTCAGTGCAAAAATAGCCAGTTTATTTACAGTACAAATCAAACAGTAAACCTACACGTGTTTTTATGTAATGTTAATGATTTGTTTTTTCCCTTTGTATCTCTCACCCATGAATGTGTTTTAAAAAAAAATATGTTTTACTATCTTCAAACAATATCTCAGGCTCCAGGCAACATATTCTTAACCATTTCATGTGATAACCTTCCTTTAGTGGTATTAAACTCTTCAGAAGTCTGGTTCCCATCACGAGCACTGTGAATAACTGTGACTTGGATAGAACGGTATGTTTCACTTTAAACCCCTCTGAAAGACTTGGTTTACATCTTAATGATTGAACAATGCAGACATTTGGGAAAAAGGAAAAAAAGCAGTAGAATCCCCCTTTAACTGCTACACAAAGTGTATAAACGATGTAAAACTATAAAAATGTATATAATTTACAAAGCTTACAATAGACTTAAACTACATTAAGCTTATTATGTGTGCTTGAAAGCAGGTCAGTATTTACATATTTAAGTTCAGGTCATGGTAAATTGTGCTAATGAATATTATGCACATGTATACATTATTCCAGCTGTGATCATCTTTCTGACAGTGTCTAAGATCTTTGTGGTCATTTCTTTGATGACAGGACAGAGATCATTCTGTCTCTCACTCTCTCACTCACTCTCTCTCTCTCTCAGTGAGTGAGAGAGCAGTGTGTTGTCTCAGTAAGGATTAACTGTGCTGTGTCGATGCTGCAGTTCTCACATTCCTAACTGCAGTTCTCACAATCCCTTCAAACTGAATCAAACTCGCACACACACACACAGACCCCTACTGAATCAGTCAATGGCCTCTTTGTCCATCCACCCATCTCTTTCTTCTGTCTACCCATCCGTATGTCTATCCCTCCTTCCGCTCCACTGTGTTCTGCTGGTCACTTAGCACAGCCTGTGGGATTTTTCATGAGCTTTATTTAAAACATCCTTAATTTTTTAGCATGAATGTTGATGATCTCAGCACAGTATTGTGGTAGCTTTGTGTTCTGTGGTTTGGTTTTATTTCCTGTTTATTATTTATATTTGTTTTAGTATTATTATTATTATTATTATTATTATTATGTATTTAAAACTATTTTATTATTATTTTTTATTTTATTCATCTTATTATGTTATTATTTATATTATACATTATTTTATTTATGCACTGAGATTTATGTAAAATGGCGAATTTGCATGTTCCTTTTTTCTTATCATTATGTAAAATTTTCTTTATTTATACATTTTTATTAATATTTGTATTCAGTTTGTGTGGATTTTTATCACAGCATAGTCATGCATAGTGTTTGAGGTACACTTCAGTAGTATGGTTTTGTTTGCCTTATATTTTATTCTATTTTTATGTTGTTTTGTTTTAATTTATTTATGCTCTGAAAGTCATGGAAAATATCCTCAAATTGCAATTGCACGTTTTTTTTTTTTCTTTTATCTCAGGACATCATAAGGAGAGTGGCAAAGTTTCATTTTATTTACGCTGTTTTTGTTTATCTCAGCAAAGTCAGATGTGAGTGTTGTGATGTTTACTTCAGTTGTTTGTGATAAACTGTGTTGTGTTCTCTGTGTGGTCCACAGGGTCGTGTGGAAGTGGAGGCTGGTAATGAAAATATGAAGTTTGAGACAGGTCCCTTCTCCTACTACGGTGTCATGGCACTTAGTGCCCCCACACTAGGTAAGACACTCACACACAGATATCCAACGTTTCTTCACCTTGTCTTGTCACAATCTGTTTCCTTTTTTAAAAAAATGTGTTCTATTGCTTTTTAACAGAAAGGACAACAAAAAATTAAAGCCTGTTGTCAACAGCAGTAACAAAAATTGCATCAAATTGGAGACAAAAAGCAAAGAGTTTACATAAACATTATTTGAAGTAGATCGTATAATTGTAGTGCATCGCTAACGGTTATCTGACTCAGTCAACTGAGTGCACGTCCGTTGTTAAAATAAGATCAGAAAGTTTTTATGTAGGCGATTAAAGCATATGTCAATATTGCCGAGCTCAACCTACAACAGTAATTTTATAGAATAATACGTGTGTAATCCGTTCAAAGGGCCACCCAGCTTCAGACCATGGGAAGAACCACAGTGCTGGAAATGTTTATGTATGAAATCATATTGTGTCACTGCCACCTAGTGGTGATAGTTACTCTTTACATTCTGCTCTCCATTGCAGAGAGGTCAGCACTGTATTTTTAGTTAGTTTTGTTTCTTTGGTTGTGCTTGTCTTTTTTGGGTTCTGTATTTTATTCTTGGGTATATTCTTACATCTCACATATATATATATATATATAAACCGATCAGGCATAACATTATGGCCACTTCCTTGTTTCTACGCTCATTGTCCATTTTATCTGCACTTTGTAGTTCTACAATTACAGACTGTAGTCCATCTGTTTCTCTGATACTTTGTTAGCCCCCTTTTACCCTGTTCTTCAATGGTCAGGACCCCCATGGACCCTCACAGAGCAGGTACTATTTGGGTGGTGGATCATTCTCAGCAGGAACACTGATGTGGTGGTGGTGGTGTGCTGGTATGAGTGGATCAGACACAGCAGTGCTGCTGGAGTTTTTAAACACCTCAGTGTCACTGCTGGACTGAGAATAGTCCACCATCCAAAAATATCCAGCCAACAGCATCCTGTGACCACTGATCCACTCAGACCAGCGCAACACACACTAACACACCACCACCACATCAGTGTCACTGCAGTGCTGAGAATCATCCACCACCCAAATAGTACCTGCTCTGTGAGGGTCCATGGGGGTCAAGACCACTGAAAAACAGGGTAAAAGGGGGCTAACAAAGTATGCGGAGAAACAGATGGACTACAGTCTGTAATTGTAGACCTACAAAGTGCACCTATATAGTAAGCGGAGCTGATAAACAAGGAGGTGGTCATAATATTATGCCTGATCAGTGTGTGTGTGTGTGTGTGTGTGTGTGTGTGTGTATATGTGTATGTGTATATATATATAATATATATATTACATTCTCCCTCTCTCACATATACACACAGTCTGTCTTGCTTTGTTTTCTTCTCGTGTCTTTTCTCTCTTTCTCTGTGCTCTGACTCATTTTCATGCACTCTCTCTTTCTCTCTCTTTCTGTCTTTCTGCCCTCTCTCATTCTCATATGCTCTAAGTTTCTCTCTCCCTCTTTCTTCTTCTCTTTCTTTCCAAGCTCCACAGTCTGTTTTGCTTTGTGTTATTCTCATTTAAACTTTCTGCTCTCTCTCTCTCCTCACTTCTATTTCTTTTAAACATCCACCCTTTCTAATGGCTTGTCATTTTGTTTTCACCTCCACCCCAGTGAAAGTCTCTCGCCCTCGTCATTTCTCTCTAAAGAGGCTTTCTCTCTTCTCCCGTTTCCCAGGTAACCATCGGCATGTCGGGTTACTCTAACCCCAGGCTGAAATAACTGTTGCATCAGCACCTAATGGTTAAAATTAGTAACAAGGGCAATGAAGGTTTAGAATGATGATTCTAAATCGGCATTAAGCAATGTCAGTAACTTAAATTAAATGTGAATGATGGAAGACAGGCAGTTAGCATGGCCACACTGCTATCTTCTTACCCATATCAAGTTTTCTACTGGAGGATTGTTGCTTTGACTTCAGTTGTGTTTATTAGAGCAATGGTTAGTTCCTTAATAGGGAATTCCACTGATTTTTCAAAGTATCTGCATCATTACATGATTGAGATGTAAACAAAGGCATTCAGAGTGTTTTGATGTGAAATAGTTCACTGTTTACGTGACAGTTGAGAGAGCCTTACTGACTTAGATTACTGTATCTGTGGCGGTGATGGGAACCAGGAGTCGAGATGTCTACAACACAAATATAGCCATTTTACTTACTATGCAAAACCACCTAAGAATGTGACTTTTGAGTTTTTTATATGTAATGTTGATAATGATAAAATAGTGGAAAACCTGAAAAAATTCACTTTTCTTTGCTGACTATTTTGCTTAACACCCCCGTACGTACCTCTCCACCCTAAAAAAAAAAACCTTTTAGGCCAAAACCTCAAAACTCTTGTAAAAAATGTCTCAGCCAGAATGACTGTTTCATGTAATGACTTTCTTTGATGGAGCTTTTAGGCGCATGAAACACTTCAGACATCTGGTTCCTATCACCACCACTGTGAACAACTCTGACTCGAGAACGGAGCATTTCACATTAAACTACTGTGAATGCCTTTGTCTTCATCCTAACCATTTAATTAACCAAAAATTTTGAAAAATGGGTGGAATACCCCTGTAACCAGTTCTAAGAGGTGATGGTGCAGACCACTGTAATTATAGAGGGGAAAATTCTGGTCATGCTCTTAAATCTGACCCCTAGGACCATCACAGTGGAGCATTCCATCTGAGCTAAATCACTGAACTTTCCAGTGCCCCTCATTAGTTAGCCTCCTCATAGTTTGACTTAAATGGATCCTTAAAATTGTGACTGGATAAGTTTTCCTGGTCTGTGCCCTGTGACTTAATAAGGTCAAGTCCACAGTTTGCTTGTTTATCAGGAGTCTGCCAGGAGGGGGAGCCAGTTGACAACTGCAATAACCGATTCACTGTTTACATGCCAGTTAAAGGTTTAATTAGACTCCTACCTGTTAGATTAAAGAGGAATTCCACTAGTTTTCACAATGAGGTGATTGGCAAGAAGCGTTTAGTGCTTCGAAAAGTTATCTCATAGAAACACAGGAAGCTATTATAGAAATAATTGCCAATATGTTGCATTATGCGTAATGGTTTGTGTAAATATAGTTGTGACCTATTTTCTGACCCATATAAAGTGTTCTCCTAGAAGACTGTTGCTTTAACTTTTGTTTTCTTGTGTTGTGTTCACTTTTGGCCTAAAACCTGTTGTAAGGCAAAATAGTACACAAACAAAGCTTGTTTACCATATGTTATCATTATTAACATTCCAAATAAATGACTTTGTGGTCATTTTGGGTAAATTTGGGCAAATAAAATAGGGACTGGGTCCTGTCTCCACCATTGTTAAAAAAATGGAGTAGTTTCTCTGCAGTGCAAATCACTCCGCGTGACAATGAAATTTGGAAAAAAAAAGTGGAATTCCCCTTTAAAATACACATTTTCCCCATTATCTCAAATTCACCCATATCACAGGTACAGTGAAAGGCTCCTAATTATCCAGCGTGTTCCTGTGTTTGAAATGATTGCCTGCTCTGCATAAGTGCTGCTCTGCATGTACAAAAGGTCTTATGAGGTTTCAAAATATCAAAAATAAATATAGTTCATCAGCCAAGACATATTTGGTGTCCAAAATGTGCTACTTTAGTTTTGCAGCTGAAGCTATGTGAGGCTAATGTAGCTAACAAGTAATGGAAGCTTATAGCCACTGGTTAACATCATGCAGTTAGAGGTCATCTCAGGTCCTTATGTTCCCAGGCTCTGTGTTCCATCTTGGTAATTGCTTCAGACAAATTGCTTTTCTGATTGAACACTTCAGTGAACAAGAGTGAAAACAATATTAACAACATTGCAAAGTATTACAAAAGTTGGCACTCATGGTAGCAATGGAATCTTCCAGCCCCTGTCAGCTTGCCCCTCACCATTCCCCCGTCTCAGGCTTGTTACTTTATTCTGCTAACTTGCTAGTGAGCAAGCTAACTGCTGCACAACCAGCCACAACAACAAAAGAAGGGCAGTGAACCACACCTAAACCAAGTTTTTGTATTCTGCACTCTGAAAAATGGTTTGAATTACAAGTTTGCTTAATAAGAAGTGCATTCTTATTGAAAAATCTGTTCCTCATTGTTCTCTATATTAGCTTTGATGACCCATTGTCATTGATTATGAACTTAGGTACCCCTTCATATCGCTGATGACTAATAAATGATGACTATACAGGAGAAGGAAAAAACATACTTTACTTTTAATGTAAGTCAGTAGAACCAGACGTTATCCCAAGTCGTTTTGGGCTGTTTCTTTGGGTCCATTCTTCATGAAATTTACACACATTGTATGGGCAACAGGCATTTTCAAATTATGTCAAAAACTGTGAAAAATGACAAAAATGGAGATGGAGGTTTTCTTACGACAGCAGCAAAACACTCCTTTAATGTATCGTGTTGAGGTATGATGTATCATATAAAGAGCTGACCTCAGGAACACTTCCTCACAGCCTTGTAGCTTCAGTGCAAACTTCATACATCAAATATATCTTGGCTGATGAACCACATTAGAAGTAAGGGAAAATTGTGTTGCTATAACGTTGACTAAAATGGCATCTGTGACAATGTGACTATGTAGCTAATAATTAATGGAAGCTTATGGCAACCGGTTAACCTTGTGCAAACTGCATGCTTAATTCATTACACATAAGCCTCTGAGCTGTTGAGTAATCTCAGTGGGTGTGCTTATGTGGTTTGTGATATGATCTAGTGCTATCTATAGAAATGAACAAAAGAACAAAAAATCGGGCGTCTGTACAACTGTTGCTTAACAGTGTTTCAACATGCTCATTCCAATGCAAAGATAAAGAAGCATATTTCAGACACTTAACATGTCTGGGCTAATTGAGTTTGATTTTTGGCCAAACTGCTTTGTATTTTTAATTTTTTTTTCCTGAAATATATCTGTATGTATTATGTTGGTGTACTTACATCAAACCGATACTTCATGAGGCATTAAGTACGCCTCCTTGTGTCTGCACTCCATTTCATCAGCTCCACTTAACATATAGGTGCACATTGTAGTTCTGCTATTACAGACTGTAGTCCATCTGTTTCTCTACATACTTTGTTAGCCCCCTTTTATCCTATTTTTTACTGGTCAGGAGCACCACAGAGCAGGTATTATTTGGGTGGTGGAATATTCTTAGCAGTGCAGTGACACTGACGTGGTGATGGCGTGTTCATGTGTGTTGCACTGGTATGAGTGGATCAGACACAACAGTGCTGCTGGAGTTTTTAAACACTATCACCTCACTGTCCACTCTATTAGACACACCTACTTTGCTGGTCCTCGTTCAGCCATTTCATGACAAACAATTGAGGGAGACGGCGAGTGGAAGCAAAAAACGTATCTTTTATTTTTCACATTAAGTTGTTTAAAAATGGTTTGCAAACCACAAGGATGGCACTACTAAAGTGAGTTGACTACTAGTGGTTAAAGCCCACTCCAGCAAAGCCAACTCGCCAAAGATGGTCTGAAATTTTACCTGCAGAAGAGGGATATGAAGAAAAAAAAGGGCTCCAGCTATTCACATCAGAAAGCCTTTTAAATCAGACCAAAAACCTGCACACTGGTGTGTCTCAGTAGCCAGTCAGGTCCATGCTCTGCCTCTCAGTTTCACCTGCAACAAACTCAGAGCAAAACAAACCAGACAGCCAAGAGGGTCGTCACACCCACCTCCCTCAAAAAAAAGAAATGGCATACCAAACACAAAAATGGTCTGTATACACCACCAACCACTGCAAATGTGTGAAGGAAACTTATTGTTTATTATTCTTGATCATGCCCCATCCAGTGCATCCTTCACAACCCGTGCCATGGGAAATTTAAAGACAACAAAGACAGGCCAAAACAGCAGTAATGAACTGACTTTAATATGAAGACACTGGTACCCGTGACAATGCGTCCACTATTACATTATCCACAATTTGATGTGGTAAATCTCAAGAGCAAAGGCTGCAAGAACAGACACCAGCGCATCAAATGTTGATTTGGGTTCTGCAGAGGAAAAAGAAATGTTAGAGTGTTGTAATCACAGAAGACCACCAACAGAAACCAGCCTCGTCCAAAATAGACATCGGAATTTTGCAGAACCCAGACTAAAGCAAGAACTTACCTTTCAATTATCAAGTAATGAAGTTGATAAAAACACATTCTGGGTGTTTAACACCTTGATCATCTGCCTCTAACAAATCCACCCCAGCTCCTATCTTGCTGGCATCCACCTGAATCTTAAACGGCTGATTTAGCTGTGGAGCCTTCAACACAGGAGCTGAAGCAAGAAGGGTTTTAACAAAAAAGCAGACCGACAAGCCATGGTCCCCAACAAATTAGGCACCCAACTTCAGTAAATCAGTGAGAGGTGCAACTACTGTTGAAACATTTTCACAAAACCCCCACTTTCTCTCACCATCCCGAGTAAACGCATCAGTTCCTTTTTGGTGGTTGGAGGTGGTTACTGAGCTATAGCTCATCTGTTGCTGCACAGTTTGTGTTGGTCATCCTCTAGTCCTTCATCAGTGGTCACGGGACACTGCCCACAAGAAGCTGTTGGGTGGATATTTTTGCTTGGTGGACTATTCTCAGTCCAGCTGTGACACTGAGGTGTTCAAAACTCAAGCAGCACTGCTGTGTTTGATCCACTCGTACCAGCGCAACACACACTAAAACATCACCACCACGAGCTGAGAATGATCCACCACCCAAATAATACTTGCTTTTTGGTGGTCCTGTGGGGGTCCTGACCATTCAAAAAAAGGGTAAAGGGGGAAACAAAGTATGCAGAGAAACAGATGGACTACAGTCTGTAATTGTAGAACTACAAAGTGCACCTATATAGTAAGTGGAGCTGATAAAATGGACAAAGAGTAGAAACAAGGAGGTGTACTTAATGAAGTGGGTGGGCAGTGTATATTTTCGTGTGTTGGTGGGATGTGATGCGAGAACCTTGGTACGTTGGCAATGCCTAACCTGAGTTAATATCTTTCGACCTTCTTCCACAAGATCATAAAATGGTTGTTGAAATGGTGTTGCATTCCATTTTCCCATTTTCTCTTAACCCCACCCCATTCCCCTCATCCCCTCATTCCCCTCCCCTCACCCCATTCCCCTCATCCCCTCACCCCATTCTCCTATCCATAAGTGGCAAGTTTTTATGTTTTATTTCATGTAATTAATTATTGATTTATTTATTTATTGTTCTTTAAAAAAAGTTAACGTCATACGTACTCACACATCAGAGCATATATATATTGGGCCTGTTCTGTCTGTTTTGCATGCATGTGTGGATGCAGATTTTTTTTTTTCTTCCTTTGGTTAATCCAATTTCTGTGTGTTATAATGTGCTGTGCAAATATAGTTCTATTGTTGCTGCTGTTATTGGAATTCAAATAATTTTTAGTAGTATTATTATACAGCAGGTGAGTATAGTGTTTATTTCGGTGTCACACCATTCTGCACTTCTGTATATGTGTGTATTTCAGAGTTCCGCTCGCCATCTCATCTCAGCGGTTTGAACCGTTCAGCATCTCTGAACTACACTGACCGCACTGAGTCACAGTCCATCAGCGGCAGCAACACACAGCTCAACAGTGCCCCCTCTCCACAGTACATCCCCGACTTCAACGTACGCGCACTGACAGACCTTCAGATTGTCAAGGTAAGAATTTTCTGTTTTGCCCCTGTACAGTGCAGTTCACTTTGACGTTAAAGGCTGTTCCGTTACTTTTAGCTCAAGTAAAGTTTAATAGATGACACCTCAGAGGGATGAGGGATCAATTCAGCATCTACACTCTCTCACTCTTCCCCTCTCTCTCTCTCTCTCTCTCTCTCTCTCTCTCTCTCTCTCTCTCTCTCTCTCTCTCTCTGTCTCTCTCACTCAGATCACTCGATCACAGTATCAGAATGGTCTCATAGCGTCACGGTTGGACAGCTCACCCCAGTCTCCAGACAGCGGACACGCACAAGTGGACCAGAACACACCTGTGGAGAACAACACACCTGTAGTGCCTCAGTCTCTTTCAGAACACACGCTCACACTGCCCCTCACAGACACACCCCCGGACGAACACACGTCGCTCCTGAACGAGCAGAACTGCTTGCCTGCGCGCCAGGCGGGCCACAATATACACAGCGATAGCGCCATCTGACGCACACTTACTTACACGCACATTTCAAACAGACTGCTATATGTGCACAGAGACTGACGTCAATAACAGTGATTGCTATACACGTACTGTGTCTGCAGCTTGGCAGATCCAGGAGAAGATATGACTTATTCACTTACTCACTCACATACATACACACTCACTCAGACCTTGACAACTGATATTCTCCAGCCACACAAACTCACAGTACATGCGCCATAACAGTTGCCAACAAAAGGATGGAGACAGAATTGTCTGGGTGTGCAAGAGAGACAAAGAGAGAGAAAGAGTGTGTGTTTTCTGGTCCTGGAAGAGATGACCACTTAACTGACCAGTGTTAGTGTGAACTGAAAGGGTTCCCTCTCCAAACACAATCCTTGGGGCGTTTTTTAAAAATTGCACAAATTGGAGGAGGGATGCTTCTTTATAAACCAAAACATAGATATTTTATTTTTCGCACTTTTAAAAAAAAGAATGCTCACAGAGTGTCAATGTGATTCTCCGTGAGACAAGTTGTTAACATTAAAGCAACAGTCAAATTTACACAGTTTTCCTCCTTCGTCAAACATAGCCGATCTGACATGTTTAATGTCCGAAATTGCTTATTTAGTTTTTACACTTCAGCTAGTAAGTAATGGAAACTTATGCCAGCAACCTTGAAGCCTAATTTCTGTCAGTGTTTGTCATACAGTGTCTGAAACCACATAAGCAAGTCTGTTTAAGATTATTTAACAGCTTGACACAGTTAAGTGTATGATGCAGTGTGTACAGTGCAAATTGGTGCTGTATAATCTTCCATTGCTTGTTAGCTACATTAGCCTTATAGCTCCAGTGAAGAACTAAAGAAGCAAACACTGCTAATCGACTACATTTGGGGTAAAATGAAGATTATTTAAGTTATCGCTTTAAACCGCTTTGAATCTAAACTGTAAGGGAAAACGTGCATGCATGTGTGGGACGGACAAGTGAGGCAAAGTAAGTGTGTGAGTAGGTGAAAGTGAGCGAAAAAGAGTGCATACAAGTAAGTTAAAGGGGAATTCCACTATTTTTTTATCTTCTCTCTGCATAATTTATTCACTGAGATGTACACAAAGTCATTCAGAGTGGTTTTATTTGATGCGTCCATTGTATTGAAACTCAGTGACGTACTGATTTCTTTACAGTGGTGGTGATAGGAACCAGGTGCCACAGTGTGTACAATGCAAATATAGCCATTTTATTTACTATCCAAAACGACGAGTGACCCTTCAACTGTCCTCTGAGTTTATATGTATAATGGTAAAATAGTGGTAAATCTGACTTTCTTTGTGTACCGTTTTGCCTTACAACACCCTGCATGTACCTTTCCACCATGAATGGATTTCAAAAATATATTTTAGACCTCCTAATGTCTTTGGCATTATTCAGTGCATCTGTAACCATTTCATGTAATGAATTCCTAGGATTTAGTTTTTTGTAAAAGGTTCTGACTCGAAGTTTCTCTAGAACAGAGCATTTCCCATCAAACCTCCCCGAATGACTTTGTTCACACGGTAACCAGTTATTCTCCAGGGTATGTGTTTTATGATCATAAACATAATGATATATGCTTACAATTTACTGCTGAACCCAAAAAGATGCTCTTTGTATTTTTTTTTATAAAAATAATTTTTTACAGTGCATATCACTGAAGAGACACCATCTGAGATCCAGTTTATAGCTCAGATTTGTGGAAAAATGGGTCAACCACCGGTGGTTCCACAGAGTTAAAAAGGTTTTAACCACTTCTTTGCACAGAAATTTTTGAAAATCGGTGGAATTCCCCTTTAATAAAACCATGTGTTCCTGAAAAGCCTGCTTTAAAGAATCAACAGATTATTTAACCTATCATTTTAGTCGTACCAAGACACATCTCAGGGAGACACTGAGCACCATATACAACAAACCAACATGTTAAAAATTTTCAAAGGACTTTTGACCTTTCTCTGTTTATAAATGTACAACCAGAGGACAAGTGACCAAAAATGACAAAAAAACTGAAGCATGTTGTACAATTTCATCTCGTTTCAAGACATAGAGAAAGACGTAGCATATTGACTCCACGTATTATTACTGTAAGTCAACTATCTAATGGTTTTTTGAGCATCTGTTGGCTTTCTGTGCAGTCATGCTCGTGTGAATCAGTGTCTGTGTATGTGTGAGCTTGTGCGTAGTCGTTATGAAGTAACTTACGGTCATTGTAAATACCCCAAAGTGAACAAGCCATTCTAGTAAGGCAGTCTCTGTGGAAGTGGAATTCTTCTCCACTTCGGATGAAAACGTTTGCGTGTGTGCGAAAAGCTTTAAGACTTTGTGGTTCACTAGCTATTGGACTTGAAGTGAACCAACCAGAAGAAGATATATATATAAATACTGTATTTATTTTGCATAAGATTCAAGTTGTATATTTTTGAGGTCTTTTTGTGAAATGTACCTTTTTTTTTGTCTGTGTTTTATAATCTCTAATTCTGTTTCATGGTTAATGCTTTTAAATCAAGAAGCGTGTCTCGGTACTGATTCATGTATGTGTAAGAATGTGCTCCAGTTTTCAGACAATCTGTAGTTTCCTCGAAGCCAAACTTTTTACCTATGTAAAATATGACAGGGGTCCTGGAGGATATTGAGCTTTTTTCCTTTTTCTGTTTTTTTTTTCCACTGTGAGGAGTTTTGCTTTATACCAAATCTGGAAATCATCTTCAACGAACCGTATGCAGATGAACACTATTTTATGGACGAAAAGCAGCCTTTTTGAAGATTAGCCTAATAAATACTGGAAAGCCTCTGAATTGGAATCTGCAGCGTCTGTTTGTCATAAAAGAGGAAAAAGAGTTTCACTGTGTGTGTGTGTGTGTGTGTGTGTGTGTGTGTGTGTGATTGGTAGTGCTACAGTGGGGCAAAACAGTATTTAGTCAGCCACTGATTGTGCAAGTTCTCCTACTTAGATGAGAGAGGTCTGTAATTTTCATCATAGGTACACTTCAACTATGGGAGACAAAATGAGAAAAAAAAAATCCAGGAAATCACTTTGTAGGATTTTTTTAAAGAATTTATTTGTAAATTATGGTGGAAAATAAGTATTTGGTCAATAACAAAAGTTCAACTCAATACTTTGTAACATAACCTTTGTTGGCAATGACAGAGGTCAAATGTTACCTGTAAGTCTTCACCAGGTTTGCACACACTGTAGCTGGTATTTTGGCCCATTCCTCCATGCAGATCTCCTCTAGAGCAGTGATGATTTGGGGCTGTCGCTGGGCAACACGGACTTTCAACTCCCTCCACAAATTTTCTATGGGGTTGAGGTCTGGAGACTGGCTAGGCCACTCCAGGACCTTGAAATGCTTTTTACGGAGCCACTCCTTCGTTACCTGAGCGGTGTGTTTGGGATCATTGTCATGCTGGAAGACCCAGCCACGTTCCATCTTCAATGCTCTCACTGGCTATGTTTACATGCAAAGATTTTTGCCAATCCGATTGAATACAATCCGATTACAGATTCAGACTGAGGTGTTTATATGCACACTCTATTCAACGATTTGATGGAAAATCTTCGTTTACATGCTCACTACAAGTAATCCGATGCAAAATGACGCGCATGCGTGAAGTAGCGTTTAGAGTAAACGTTACCATGACAGCGAACATCACGTGAGGTCCAGTCCGCGTGATATGAGTTTCCAGTTGGCGCGCTTGTGTTTTAATTGCTTTAAAATGATGTCAGACTCAGGAAAACGTGCTTCAGATGTGCTTATAAAGGAAGCGGCGAGAGGAAGACGTCGTGTTCTGAGACTCATAAGCTAGACGTCCGTCCCACCGCCGTCTTTTAAAGATCAGAGCATAAACTTCGTCTCCTCTGCAGACCAGTTTCTGCTCCGCCATGCTGAACGGTATAAACTTTCGCCATGACGCGACGCACATGCGCAGAACATACTTACACGTTCCGATTGGAATGTAATCGTATTCAGGCGTTTACATGGCTATTATTCTTCTATTTAACGGATTATTTAGAGGTTTACCCACCTCGTTCAATCGGATAGAAATTGTATTCCGAATGGCTTCAATCGGACTAGTCTATTCCGATTGAGGTGTTTACATGGACGTGTTCTATTCCGATTGAGCTATTAGTCGGATTATTAACGGATTATCAGGCTGCATGTAAACGTGGCTACTGATGGAAAAAGGTTTTGGCTTAAAATCTCACGATACATGGCCCCGTTCATTCTTCCCTTAACACGGATCAGTCGTCCTGTCCCCTTTGCAGAAAAACAGCCCCAAAGCATGATGTTTCCACCCCATGCTTCACAGTAGGTATGGTGTTCTTGGGATGCAGCTCAGCATTCTTCTTCCTCCAAACACGACGAGTTGCGTTTTTACCAAAGTTTTATTTTGGTTTCATCTGACCACATGACATTCTCCCAATCATCTTCTGGATCATCCATATGCTCTCTGACAAGCTTCAGACGGGCCTGGACATGTACTGGCTTAAGCAGGGGGACACGCCTGGCACTGTAGGATTTGAGTCCCTCTCGGCGTAGTGTGTTACTGATGGTAGCCTTTGTTACTTTGGTCCCATCTCTCTGCAGGTCATTCATCAGGTCCCTCCTGTTGGTTCTGGGATTTTTGCTCACCGTTCTCATGATCATTTTGACCCCACGGGATGAGATCTTGCGTGGGGCCCCAGATCGAGGGAGATTATCAATGGTCTTGTATGTCTTCCATTTTCTTACAATTGCTCCCACAGTTGATTTATTCACACCGACCTGCTTGCCTATTGTAGATTCACTCTTCCCAGCCTGGTGCAGGTCTACAATTTTCTTCCTGGTGTCCTTCGACAGCTCTTTGGTCTTGGCCATGGTTGAGTTTGGAGTCTGACTGTTTGAGGCTGTGGACAGGTGTCTTTTATACAGATAACGAGGTCAAACAGGTGCCATTAATACAGGTAATGAGTGGAGGACAGAAGAGCTTCTTAAAGAAGAAGTTACAGGTCTGTGAGAGCCAGAAATCTTGCTTGTTTGTGGGTGACCAAATACTGGAAAGCCTCTGAATTGGAATCTGCAGCGTCTGTTTGTCATAAAAGAGGAAAAAGAGTTTCACTGTGTGTGTGTGTGTGTGTGTGTGTGTGTGTGTGATTGGTAGTGCTACAGTGGGGCAAAACAGTATTTAGTCAGCCACTGATTGTGCAAGTTCTCCTACTTAGATGAGAGAGGTCTGTAATTTTCATCATAGGTACACTTCAACTATGAGAGACAAAATGAGAAAAAAAAAATCCAGGAAATCACTTTGTAGGATTTTTTAAAGAATTTATTTGTAAATTATGGTGGAAAATAAGTATTTGGTCAATAACAAAAGTTCAACTCAATACTTTGTAACATAACCTTTGTTGGCAATGACAGAGGTCAAATGTTACCTGTAAGTCTTCACCAGGTTTGCACACACTGTAGCTGGTATTTTGGCCCATTCCTCCATGCAGATCTCCTCTAGAGCAGTGATGATTTTGGGGCTGTCGCTGGGCAACACGGACTTTCAACTCCCTCCACAAATTTTCTATGGGGTTGAGGTCTGGAGACTGGCTAGGCCACTCCAGGACCTTGAAATGCTTTTTACGGAGCCACTCCTTCGTTACCTGAGCGGTGTGTTTGGGATCATTGTCATGCTGGAAGACCCAGCCACGTTCCATCTTCAATGCTCTCACTGATGGAAAAAGGTTTTGGCTTAAAATCTCACGATACATGGCCCCGTTCATTCTTCCCTTAACACGGATCAGTCGTCCTGTCCCCTTTGCAGAAAAACAGCCCCAAAGCATGATGTTTCCACCCCATGCTTCACAGTAGGTATGGTGTTCTTGGGATGCAGCTCAGCATTCTTCTTCCTCCAAACACGACGAGTTGCGTTTTTACCAAAGTTTTATTTTGGTTTCATCTGACCACATGACATTCTCCCAATCATCTTCTGGATCATCCATATGCTCTCTGACAAACTTCAGACGGGCCTGGACATGTACTGGCTTAAGCAGGGGGACACGCCTGGCACTGTAGGATTTGCGTCCCTCTCGGCGTAGTGTGTTACTGATGGTAGCCTTTGTTACTTTACTTCTGCAGGTCATTCATCAGGTCCCTCCGTGTAGTTCTGGGATTTTTGCTCACCGTTCTCATGATCATTTTGACCCCACGGGATGAGATCTTGCGTGGGGCCCCAGATCGAGGGAGATTATCAATGGTCTTGTATGTCTTCCATTTTCTTACAATTGCTCCCACAGTTGATTTATTCACACCGACCTGCTTGCCTATTGTAGATTCACTCTTCCCAGCCTGGTGCAGGTCTACAATTTTCTTCCTGGTGTCCTTCGACAGCTCTTTGGTCTTGGCCATGGTTGAGTTTGGAGTCTGACTGTTTGAGGCTGTGGACAGGTGTCTTTTATACAGATAACGAGGTCAAACAGGTGCCATTAATACAGGTAACGAGTGGAGGACAGAAGAGCTTCTTAAAGAAGAAGTTACAGGTCTGTGAGAGCCAGAAATCTTGCTTGTTTGTGGGTGACCAAATACTTATTTTCCACCATAATTTACAAATAAATTCTTTAAAAATCCTACAAAGTGATTTCCTGGATTTTTTTTCTCATTTTGTCTCTCATAGTTGAAGCGTACCTATGATGAAAATTACAGACCTCTCTCATCTTTCTAAGTAGGAGAACTGACTAAATACTTTTTTGCCCCACTGTATACTTGGACCCCATGTCCTCACTACGATAGGACTATATGAAATTTTTGCGGACATTTTGCTGGTCCTCACTTGAGCATGTGTTGATTTCACCACAATTACTTTTTTATTTAAAAAACTAAAAGAGCAGAAAAATTGCCTTTTGCATACTGAGGTTAAGGTTAGGGTTAGGTTTAGGTGTAGTATTATTTAGCTACAGTGACACAAAAATCAATAGAAATCTAGGAATGTCCTCATATGCACAGCAAGAAAAACGTGTGTGTGTGTGTGTGTGTGTGTGTGTGGAGGCTAGGAGTTATGGCTGCTGCTAGGGCTCTGTGTGTAAGGTATTGTCATTTTCACTCTTACTGACTGTTTATAAGAATTAGTGTTGCTGATGACGCTTGCTGGTATGAAGTCAAATTTGAAATCAGAATGGAAGGAAAATGCATTAAGATTTCCAATTCATGAAAACAGACCAAAGCACGTTTTCTTCCTCCTGCACCATTTCTCTTTCTCACCTTACCTTTGTTTTTGATTGTTTAGTTTTGTCATTTATTTCTAGGTGGGAGATATCTGGTCAGATACCAGTTATTTATTAAATGAATTTTTAAAACCATGAAATCCTTTATTGTGAAAATTAATGTAGATTCTAGTCTAATGCATGAAAGTGCCTTGGTGCCATAAAGTCTGTTATTAATAGTACAGATTTGAAATTGTGTAAAAAGTGTAAAAATGTAATGAATACTTTAGTCAGTCTTTATTATCAAAATCACAAGATGTACAAGGAATTTCTCTTGGTGCAGGTGTCAATATAAAATGACATAATCTGTGTATATACACAAACACACAGTTACATGAAAATGTTTTGGCGCCCCTGCAGAATTACTGTTCATTTGCCAAATTTTAACAAAATGTGGCCTATGCAAATGTTATTGCACATTTCATATTTTATGTTTTCTCTACTTCCAATATGTTAGAAATTTGGCAAATAAACAGTAATTGTGCATTAAAATATGCAGAAATGTGTTCCCAGCAGATAAACAGAAACTGTGCAATAGAATTTGGGGGGAATAAGAAGTGTCATATTTAAGGTTTTTCTCTGTAGAGGATGTGTTAACTTATTTTGTTGATTTTCTGAGTTAAAATGTGTAATTTGACCAGGGGGTGTTCAAGGTTTTACATTTGACTGTGTGTGTGTGTGTGTGTGTGTATATATATATATACATACAGACACATTAAATAGACGGTACACAATCTTCAAGTAATGAATATACTACAAAAAAAGTAAAAGTACAAAAATACAGTAGATTATAGGCCATAAAATTAGCATCAAGCAACTTTTTAGCTTTAAGTCACAAGTGGTAGCTTTTTAACTTAATGATTATAATAAAATATAATTTTACTAACCAACAAAACAATGTAATTGCGTAATTCTAATAAAAGTCAGAATTGTGTGACCTCATTCTTCAAAGCATTTCAGAATAAAAGGTCAGCGACAAAACACTTTTTTTTTTTTTTTTCTTTCTTAGAATTTCAGCATAATTTAATAGTTTAGATGTCAACGAATCAATAAGAGTGATTTGAAATGGTTGTGGTGAATTGTGCCATTCTAGAGAAACTTACTGAGTCAGAATTGTTCACAGTGTTGGTGTCAGAAACTATACATCTGAAGTGTTTGTCTCTAAAAGCTACCTATGGTTATGAATAAGACATTGCCTGATGCCAGAAATGTCGTTTTATGACCGTTTTAGCCTAAAATTTTTTAATCAGCTCATGGCAGAAAGGTGCATGCAAGGTGTTCAAAGCCAAAATGATCAGAATCAGATTTACTGCCCAAGTATGTTGACACACACAAGGAATTTGGTTCTGGCTGATGGTATCTCTCTAGTATTATATGCAATAAACAGACAATGTACATATAATTTACAGACAGTACACACAATATAGAAGCAACATACAGATTACGTAGGCACAAGCAATGTACATAAGTGTGTGTGGTAGTGCAAACAACAGTAGTGTACATCATGTATGGGAATGAAACTGTGGTGTATAATATTGGTATGGAAGTGAAGCAGAGTGTAATAACTATCTGGATATAACAGGAGTGGCTATGGCCCAGCAGATAATATTACTGGTCAGCTATTTATGAGGGCGATGGCATGAGGACAGAAACTACTCGTGTGTCTGGTAGTCTTAGTATACAGGGTTCTGTAGTGCCTGCTGGAGAGGAGAAGTTGAAAAAGGAATGTAATGATTTTCCCTGCTTATCCTAGGGGAAAGAATGTTCTAAATGAGATCTCCTCTTCATCTCAGGGACTTTTCCTACACACAGTTAACTCCCGTTTGAAATCAGAGTGAGACTCAAGCTGTTTTCTCCTGTTTCTGAAATTTGGCTCCTGAGAAATAACACAGATTTTCTCACTTTGATCAAAATGTTGTCATGCACATGGCTTAACTTTTTGGGCTGAGATAAGTCAGACACTAGTCTCAGCTCAGTAATATTTCCATAAGAAAAGTGTGAGATCTCATTGCTTTCTTATACAGCTCTGTTCTCTGTCACAGAACTCTTTCAGCAGGTTGTCAGTGCAAAAGGAGAACTCATGCTTTTCTCATTTATCACCAGAACTTCTCACAGTGAAATGCTGATGTTATTCTCCTCTTTTCTCCCAAGGGGTGCCCAGGAGAAACAGCTCAGAAATCAATGCTTCTTCATTAATATAATATTGAGATCTGGTTTATTTTTCTTAAACAATCTCAAGAAAGAATGTTTTTCTTCTGTGCATTTCCTGGTTCCTGAAGAGTACAACTCCTGAAAGGTAGGCAGGGGAGTAATAATGATTTTTTCAGCTGCTTTCTGTTTGTTTCAGTCTGTTCCTGTTACTGCTCGTAACCAGGCCGTAATGGATGTGCACAGGACAGATTTAATGCCCACAGTGTAGAATTGGCTCAACAGCTCCTGAGGTAGACCTAACTTTCTCATTTGCCGCAGAAAGTACTACCTCTGCTGTCTTGGAAAATGGGAAAGTTGAAGGTCTCCATAGCCGACAAAGGGCTGTTGGATATTTTGAGGGGAAGCAGTGCTGACGGGGGTCCACAGTCATCCTCAAAGTCTTGAGAGTGTTCAGCTAAAGCTTTGACAATGTTTACATAATACATCAAACTCCTTTACATTGAAAAAGAGAGGACAACTTCTTTTTCCATTACATTGGCTCTTTAATTGTGCCATGCACTGCTGTTGAACTGTTTGAACACCAAAGTTTGCAAATGCTCGGCACCAATCACTTCTCTCTCCAACACTCCTCTTGCCTCCTTTTCAAAACACTCTGAATGACTTTGTTCACATCTCAATGACTGAATTATGCAAACATTTCAAAAAATCTTTAATAATTTAGGCTACATTGCGCCCAATTGAAAAGCCATTCCGGGCTGAAACTTCTGTATGGGTGGGGCTAAACTGGTGTAGGCTGGATAGATTCATATATGTAAATGTATTTTTTTGTGACATCACAAAAACAATTAATTAAAACTGCGCTCTTTTTGCAGTTTTCACGTATGAACTGTGTGGACTGGGGCGTGAACGTTACATTGTTAAAACTTTTGCAATGTTCACATAATACCTTAAATTCTTATATTGAAAAAGTGAGGACAATTTCTTTTTCCATGACGTAGGCTCTTTGTGCCATCCACTGCTGTTGCACTGTTTGAACACCAAAGTTTGCAAAGAATCAGCACCAATCACTTAAATGACTTTGTTCACATCTAAATGACTGAATTATGCAAGAATTTTGAAAAAAAAACAAAAAAACGATGAAATTCCCCCTTAATAGTTCAGGCTGAGTCTCAAGTGCACTATGTGTCCAGTAGCAAGCCATTTAGGACCCAGCACGTGTTGGAACTAAGGTTATCAATTACATACAAAACAGAATTACAGAATCCTTAAGTTTTGTTTAAACAAATTTTGCCCACGAGTTGAAAGAACATTATTATTTACCACTGGGATTAGTTCAGCATTGCTAATGCCAATGTGATGTTTCTAGTGTAGATGATGAGGAGTCGATTCCAAAAGAATCGATCCTTCAACTCCAGCACGACTGGAAGTCAGGATCGTTTCTTGGCTAATGACTCTTGGACTCGAAATGGCTGGAGTCGACTCTATCGACTCAGCGTAGTTTCCACAGACTTCGTGGCTGTTTCGTTGTAATTGGCTCAATGAATATGTGTTGAAATAAAATTAGCTGTAATCATTTACCACGCCACCTGATACCGGTTATACTCTTACGAATTTCCATCAAGGAGTCGACTCCAGCGATTCCAGCAACAGAAATCCAGAGTCGGAGCCGAAAACCGTGAATGAAGTCCGGCACGCACGGAAGTGACCGTTATTTTCAAATCTTTGAACGGACCAATGAGATTGAAGGGGGCGTTAACCCCGCAACATTCAAGCAGCCGTGAGCAGTTGTTTTGGCGATTTCGTGCTGGCGAAGAAATCCTCGCTTCGGCTGTTTTAATCGTAAATTGCTCAGTAAAATAAGACAAAATATAAGTACGATAACGTTATTTTTCAGGACAACGATGGGAACGTTAACGGATGAAGACGCATCCAAACTATCCCGGATAGGTAAGTTAGATATACCTTTATCTGTTCAACTGTTTGTACTGCGGCTTGCTGTCTTTTCGCTTAGTGCTAACATTAGCTAGCTACCTTAGCAGGTCTCATCAGTGCTCCTTAGCTTAAATATGTGACTACAGATAGTATTTCTAATGTACAGAACATATGAAAATCATTTTGTAAGAACCTTATATGGAATGACGTGTTGAAGTCGTACCCTGAAAATGAAAAGAAGACTGCCTTGCCTCAAATACGTTAGTTAGCTAACGTTAACTAACCTAGCTGCCTAGACTTATGTTAGCTTAGGTCATTATTATTGCCCTTTCTTTATTCTTGGATGTAGCTAAATAACTATTTCACGCCTGCATTATAAAGGAAATTCTACCGATTTTTTAAAATTGTAGCGTAATTCCGTCCTTGACATGTTAACAAAGTTAATCAGAGTGGTTTGATGTAAAATGGAAATTGTAAAGAAAGTTATACTGATTTGGTATGTTTCTCTAGAACCAAGAATTTCATAACCTACCAAACCAGTCCGAATGACTTTGTTTACATCTTAACCATTCAATGACGTAGAAATTTTGAAAATTTGGTGGAGCTAGTTTAACTAACTAGTTAACTGCTGCTTCACGGTAGATACACAGTCTGCATTGTGATGTCCCAATGCAGAACTGTGACAGTGCATCGTGGAGTATGGACATTATATTAATGGGCCCACATCCTACATGTATCTTGTTTGATAGTTTTGTTTTGTTTTGTTTGTTTGTCTTTTCCCCTGAGGTCTGCTCACGATATTTGTGTGAGATTATGTACCAGAAACAGTCCTAATTATTTTTTACATGACCTTTTTCCAACTTTACCTTCATAAATAAATATGCTGACTGGTATGTGTAAATGAGCTCTGGTGTAACTGGATGCCCTGTATTGTGCCTCATTTATAAAAGCATTCCAGGCTGAAACACTCTGTATTACGTCTGTATGGAGGCTAAAATGATTGAGGCTGAAAACGTTGTTGATATATGTTTTAAAAAAACAGTAAAAACAGTTAATTTAAACTGGGTCATTTTTGCAGCTTAGTTTTTATATATGTACAATATTCCTAGGGGAGTAAACATTACATTTTTTAATATTTTGCATTGTTAACATACTTCATCAGACTTTTTATATTGAGAAGGCAAGGACAGTTTGTTTTTTCATGACATGGGCCTTTTATTTATGGCATCCATTTGCAGACAGTTAGCACTAATCACTCTCCAACACCCCTCTTTCAGCAGTCGTGTCATTACTAAGTTGTACAACAATGTGATATAGTCATCATTTTCTTCATTTGAATTTTGTTCAAAATATTGTGAAAATACTGATTTGTGAACCCACTATAATGAATTGAATCAAGTTGTAGGCTGAGTCTAACATCACACCCATGTAAAGAGTGTAAAGAAATTGTCACATTTTACGATGTCAAGTGAGAAACATGACTGTTTTGAAAAGACTTCAGATTGCAAAGTTCAGATTGCAGTGCTACAAGTGATATTGCCTAATCTGAAGTTTACACTATTGCTGTTACCCAATGTGTCATCACCACTCCTTTTATTTCGGTTTGAGTACAGCTGTATTGAATTTACTTCAGGCACCCTTTTTCACCATTTCACAGCCTTGATATTCAATGTGTTGGCTGGATAAAGTTTTATTAATTGTGTGATCAAGTGATTTGTTAATTCACAGAATTACGCAAGCAGAAGCTTGCAGAGTACTTGTTGGCGAAAGGCAGGTTTAAACCACCCAATCCAAAGTAAGTCCGTACTCACATTATTAAGAGTTTTTTTTTTTTTTCTTTTTCTCCCCAGATGTCAAACCTGAATTTTAGACAATAGAACAGAGAAGTGGCCAGTGATTGATTGAATGATTTTTCTCATTTTTCTTCAAGGCCTTATCTTAAGGAGAGTGCAGTTCTGAAGAAGCCTCCAGGAGCTATGCAGAGGTCTCAGGCTGTAAGTTTACAGACCACAGTTCTGAAAGCTGTTCTTGTTTTGGTTGATAGAGAGGTAGGTTCTTCAGCTACCATTTGTGACCTTTCTGCTTTTCTCAGTCAGGCAAAGGAAAGGAGAACAATGCCCCAAGTGAAACAGGTGTGAAAAAAGATGTAAAGATGAGAGATGCCCTGACGGAGAAGAATAAAAACACTGATGCTTCAAAAAAGGAGTTGAGAACCCTGTCCAAAGCTCCTTCTGGCACTCTTCAGCATTCCACCCTCAAATCCACTGTGTCTAAAAGACCCATGCAACATTGCAGAACACATTCCAAAGGAACATCTACTATCAGGAATATCTCTATTAAAGACCAGCAAACAAAAACAACTGTTCACACAGTTTTTGGGACACACAAACACTCTCAGACTGTTAAGATCACTCGAGAATCACAGATTAGACAAGCAGAAACCACTCATGGGATCTCTTCTATCAGAGCACATACAAACACTGCCAAGACAGACCAGCCAAAGAAGCAGTTTGTTCATAGAAAGGAATTTTGTTCTGATAAAGTGACTTCCAGAAGTCAGATTAAATGTCCCACAGCAGCAGAGCCACTGCGAAACATGGCGTCAAGCAGGACTGAGGCAAAAGCAATGACAGAAGCACAGACTAGATTCCCACAGATGTCCACCAGTAAGATGGGTGTAGCAAGACCATGGGTTAGTCATGATTTAGGCAAAGATTGCAGTGGCACTGTAAAGATCAATAAACCTCTGGTCAGGAATTCACAGGCAGGAAAAGGCAGGTCAAAAACAACTTGGAATAAGTCACTTTCTCAAACAAACGAGCCAGGAAAAAAAACAGGTTGCACTGTTTCGCAAATAACATTATCTACCACAGATAAGCAAAGATTGAGTCTTTCGAAAAAAGGTTCTAGTACTGCAGCTGTTTCCAAAACAACAAAATTGACCGCAGCAGACAGTAAAAATGCACTTCCACGTCAACAGTGCACCTCGGCTAAACTGCCCCCAAAACCCACTGTTCACGCTTCAGTGCCACAGAGTTTTCCACACCAGTCCAAGGACTCCAGCAACACCAAGGGGACAGAGCAGCTCAAGACCCCCAAATCAAGGTTCAACCCTGGGACCCAGGGTGTTAGGACTGTCCCTCTGGATGGAAGAAAAAAGCCATCTGCTGCTCAGGAAGAAAGACTGTGAGTTTAGGTTTTTATAATGACTTTTTTTTCCAATTGGACCATGCTTAATTTGTTTTATTTTTATTTCCTTATAAATCCAGAGGGATAAGGGTAAATGAATTGTCATGAACTTAAAGTGGAATTCCACCTTTGTTTCAAAGTTTCTGCACAATTTAACAGTTAACATGTAAACAAACATTGAAATGTATTAGTATGAAATGATGCAGTGGTGTTGAAAGGAACCAAGAATTGTGATGCCTACAACACAAATATATTCATTTTATTTACCATCCAAAATTATCAGTGAACTTACAAGTGCTGTTTAAGTTTTTTTATATTTAAAGTAGATATTGGTAAATCCAAGAAAGGTTTTCTAGGGGGGGTTGAGGTGGTGGTAGTATCATCATCATCATCATTATTATTATTATTATTATTGTGTTTTATTACTATTATTAATGTTGGTGCAGTGGGTAGTGCTGTTGCCTCACAGCAAGGAGGGCCTGTGTTCAGTTCCCCGGCTGGGTGGCCAGGGTCCTTTCTGTGTGGAGTTTGCCTGTTCTCCCTGTGTCTGCATGGGTTTCCTCCCACAGTCCAAAGACATGCAGTCAGGCCAATTGGACATACTGAATTGCCCCTATGTATGAGTGTGTGTGAGAGTGTGAATGTATATGTCTGTCTGTCTGCCCTGTGATGGACTGGCAATCTGTCCAAGGTGTGTTCTGTCATCTGCCCAGTGACTGCTGGGATAGGCTCCAGCACCCCCGTGACCCAGAAAGATGTGGGTGTGTTGTTGTTGTTGTTGTCGTTATTATTATTAATATTATTAATATTTATATTATTTGGGGACTGGCTTACAATGCCCTGCATGTACTTCTGTGAAGGTCTTAAAACAACCATAAAACAATGTGTCTGATATCAGGAATTTATATCAGTATTTATAACCCTTTTTTTTGTAATAGCTTTCTGTGAGGCAGCTTTTAGAGAAATTAAATGCTTCAGACATCTGGTTCGTATTACCACAACTGTGGACAATTCTGACTTGGAACTATCTTCTGCAATGCACCATTCCATGTTGTACCAATCTGAACGCCTTTGTTTATACCTTAAGCATTTAATTATGCCAAAATCTTGAGACTCATTGGAATTACCCTTTTAATACTGCATAAGTTTTCTTCTAGAAACTACCCTCCCATCCTTTATCAAATATGATATAAAGAGTATAAAGAGATCGTATTTCTAAATGTGTATAAAGAGATCATAATTCTTAATTGTGTGACTTGCTACATCTTAAACAGGCGTAAACTGCAGGAGTGGCGAGAATCAAGAGGCATAACATATAAGCGTCCTCCGATGCCTGTTAAGCCAGTGAGGAGGAAGACTACTGCTATTCTTCCTCAGAGTTACTGGACTACTATAGAACAGGAAGATGAGGTCCACGGCTTCGTCTGTGCTGTGGACCAGTCACTGAACGACTGCATCAAACTTCTACAGCAGGTAACATTATGCTGCTTTTGTGACTTCAAGGAATTTTCATCCAAGGTAACTGCTTGTATTCAGGATAGCTAATGTAAAAAAATATATATTGCATGGAAATGCCACAGAAAAATGCATAATTCAATTTGTTGACCTAAATAACTTGGAGTGGTTTGATGTGGTGATTAGGGTTGCAACCGTATGAGATTTTTGTAGTATAATAACTGTCTTAGAAAACATCACAGAATATGGTACTTCACAGTTAGTAAAAGCAGGATTTTACTGTTGTAGTTTCTTGAGGTGGAGCATTTTTAAACTATTCTGTACCAAACTAATGGTTGTTGTCATTATGGATTAATCTGCTGATTTGTTTTCTCCATTAATCAGTTGATTTTGGTGGTTTTTAAAAATTCTGAAAATAGTGAAAAATGTCATCACAAGTGCTCTAAATGATTATCACAGTAGTTACTTTAGTTATTTTAAATATTAGTTTTAGTTATTGTAATGACTAAACAAACCCTCAATACCAGTAATATGCCAATCTACATGGTATGATAACCATCAATTTTCATACCATGGTATACCATGAAAGCAGTATGCTGCTGCAACACCGTCGGTGGTGAGCTGTAGAGAAACTTACCAGCTTGGATTTCATTACATTGGTGATGATGAGGCCCAGGATCAGTGTCTACAATGCAAATAAAGCCTTGTTATTTCTTATCCAAAATGACTACTGAACCTACACATGTTCTGAGTTGTGTGCATATAATGCCGTTTATGATAATTCATTGGTAAAGCAGAATGAAGATGTTTTCTTTGTGTATTGTTTTACTGTACATGTACCACTATGTTTTTGGCCAGAAGCTTATAACTAAACTTTTGTAAAGCAATGTCTTGGATATCAGGCAAAGTATTTGTAATCGTTTCATATATTAACTTTCCGTGATGTAGCTTTGAGAGGTATTAAAACATTTCAGACATCTGGTTCCTGTCACTAATACCGGGAACAGTTTTGACTCTGAGTGCATTTCAACTACTTTCAATGCTCTGTTTACGTCATTTAAACATCATGTTGCAATTCAACAGTAGAAGTGTTTCCCTAAACTGATGCAGCCTCTTTGACAATACATGATTAAAGATTTACGATTAACTGCACTGGAATTCCAGTCTATCACACTAATGAAAAACAGTGATTCGTAAAATCACTGTTTTAATATGTATTAAGTGGTTTGCTTTAGCATTTCACCTGAAAGATAGCATGAGGTTAAAGAACGTTATTGCTGACCCAGGTCTAGTTCTTTCAAAGTCTTGTCAGGTTAAGTCTGTTGCTTGCTTCATGTTGTGCCTTTTTCCTGTAATTTTCTCTCCTTCTCTGTGTTGGTGTGCTATACAACAGGGTTGTCCTGTGGACCAAGTGAGAGATGTTGTGACTCGGCTGCCAATGGCAAGGAAATTTGCCAAATACTGGATAGTCCAAGTCAGGCTGATGGAGAGAGAGGGAAACCTTGACGTTCTGCCAACGTTTGAGGAGGCTGTTCGTGTTGTCAGAGAGGTATGCTATATCAATCTCCTTTTATTCTTTTTCGTAAAGTCTCATATGGCCTCTCCTTCGCACAAAAATTCTTAGCATAGCTTTGTCTTCTGACTTTTCAACTTTTCCATCAGGCCTAGAACTGCCAAGTACTGGAACTTTCCTTTTCCCTTGATACCAATAATGGTTTGTACTGTTCCAGCCCAGTGTATTCTTGAGCCAAATCTTGGCTCAGTTTGAAATGAAGAATTCAAAGGCAGACAGTGGTGTATTATTTGGGAAAACTGCAGTTTTTCAGACCAGCATTTTGTTTTGGCAGTGGTTGAATCTATCTGCATAGCACACATAATAGCAATAAATCTAAAACTGAAGGTTGAATGCATCACTTTTCCCACAAACAACAGGTAACAGTGCTTCTCAAAGACGGAGCAAAGTCCAGCGCAGCAAGCAGAAAGAGACACACCTACTGAATAAATGACCTAATTCCAGTGTTGATACTTTTGGGCGTTGTGAAATAAATAGGACACCCCATGAAAACCTTGGTCTTTTTTAACATATGGACATTTGATCTTCTATTTAACAACATTGAGAGATGGTGGTAATGTAACTAAACAAATAAAACTGAAGAAAAACAATTTGTAGAAAGTAATTCCTACTTAAAATGCCTGAAATTAGAATCAGCTGCACCATATCAGCTGCAAATGATCAGAACATCATAAGAGAGAATTTTGGAGGACCCTGTCTAATTTAAACCTCAGACATTTAGTTTGGTTTGCTCTTGATTGTTGAAGTGAGTGATATCACCATGGCATAATCCAAAGATCTCTTTGAGGCCTTCAGAAAGAAGGTTGTAGATGCATATGACATGCCAGTTCAGGCCATCCTTGCAGGTTCAAGAGCTGACTGCAAGATGTGTGAAGAACAATCCTAAAATGTCATCACCGGACCTACAGGTAGCAGTAGTTTGATGTAAACCAAACACAGCATTTGAGCACAGTAACTTCATACCACTTGTGAAGCGTGGGGTTTGGAAATGTCATGGTTAGGGGCTGCTTTGCTGCAGCAGGGCCTGGCAAGCTCCCCATGGTAGAATCTGCTAGGAATTCTTTATTATTATTATATATATCTATTATTATCAGAGGGTGCCTGAAGAAAATGTGAGACCATCTGTCTAAAAATTGAAGCTAAAGTTGAGGTGGACAGAAGAAGATGACAGTGCCCCAAAACATTCCACTATATCCACCAAGGAATGGCTCAAAAGAAAGAAATGGAGATTGCTGGAATGGCCAAGTCAAAGCTTAATCTTAATTCTGTTGAGATACTTTGGGGTGATTTTAATGGGCTGTGCATACAAGAAACCCCTCAAACATCACACGGCTGAAAGAACTCTGTATGGAGGGGTGGGGAAACTGACGGTATGGATAGTGTTTCTCCAGAATATCCTGTCTTCTCTTTGGGTCTTCAGGCTTCTCAGTAGCTGGCTCATGATTCCTCTAATTGTGTTTATCCATCTTGTAACTGATCATCCTCTTCCTCTTCTACCTTCAACTCTTCCAAGCATAACGGTCTCTTCCAATGAACTAGTTTTTCTTAAAATATGTCCAAAATAAGAGACCTTCAGTTGGTTATCTGGGTTCGAGTGAGAGTTGAGGCTGGATTGGTCTAGAATACATTTATTTGTTTTCTTTGCCATCCAAGATACTCTCAAAAGTCTTTAATCAACACTGAAGTTCAAAGGCATCTATATTTTTCCTGACACGCTTGTTTATTGTCCAGCTTTGACATCCATAAAGAACCACAGAGGAACTCATAGCCTGGACAATTGTGATCTTTCTAGAGAGAAAACGTTACATTCAAAGATCTTTCCAGGCTCCTTCATCCAAGTTCTGCAGAGCGCCAATCTGTGTCACGTTTCTTGAGTGCTGGATCCTGTGGTGTTAATAATTGATCCAAGTCGGCAAAAGCTGTTTGCCATGTCCACGTTTTCTCCATCAATCCAGAAACCTTGATCATCTTTCTCCAGTCATATTTTTCTCACTATATGTTCTGCATACAGATTGAACAGGTATGGTGATAGTATGCAGCCTTGTCTAACTCCTTTGCCAATGTGGAACCATTCTGTTTGTCCATTTTTTGTCCTGAGTAGCTTGTTGATCAGTGAAGAGATTCGTCATTAGAACACTAGAGATGCTCTGGTATTCCCATTTGTCCTGAGGATATTACATAATTTAACGTGCTCAACACAGTTGGAGGTTTTGCTGTGGTCAGTGAAACACATGTTGACTTCCTTCTTGAACTCCTTGGCTTTTTCAGTGACCAGTGTAGATCCACAAAAATATCTGTTCCTCTGCCTTTCCTGAATTCTGCTTGCATGTCTGGCAGTTCTCTTTCAGTGTAAGACTCTAATCTTCATTGAATGATCTTAAGCATAATTTTACTGCGTGTGGTGTAAAATTGTGCAATAGTTGCCACACTTTATCTTTTGGTATTATTACATATAAACTGACCTCTTATAATCTGCCAGCCATTGAGATTTTTCCTCTATTTGTTGGCATAATTTGGTCAGTACTTCAAACGAATCTTCAGAAGCCACACCCAGGCATGATTACTGCCAGACCTGTTGAATCTAAGCATCACTTAAATAGAACCTGTCAGGCAGTGTGAAGCAGACTAGGAGGTCTCAAACCGCAGAACATGATACCACGTTCTAAAGAGATTCAATTATAGATGCCAAACAACGTAATTACAATCTACCAGTCTGGAAAGGGTTACAAAGCCATTGTTAAGGCTCTGGGACTCCAGCAAACCACAGCGAGGGCCATTATCCACAAATGGAGAAAATTGGGAACAGTGGTGAACCCTCCCAGGAGTAGCCAGCCTACCAAAATTTCATCAAGAATGCATCAGTGACTCATCCATGAGGTCACAAAAGTATCTAGATGACCATCTAATGAACTGCATTCTTTACCTGCCTCAGTTAAGGTCAGTGTACACGGTTCCACAGTAAGGAAGACACTGGACAAAGATGGCATTCATGAGAGAGTTGCAAGGCACAAACCACTAGTGACCAAAAAGAACAAAGGCTCTTCTCACATAATATTCTGTGAACTGATGAGTCAAAGGTGGAATTTCTTAGAAGACATGTACATGTACAAAGTACACCTGGCATAAAGCTAACTCTACATTCCACCATAAGAACATCGTACCAACAGTCACACGTGGTGGTGGTGGTGGTGGTGGTGATGTGATGGTCTGGGGCTGCTTTGCTTCTGTAGGATCTGGACAACATGTCATAATTGATAGAACCGTGATTTCTGCTCTCAGAAAATTCTGAAGGAGAACGTCCGCCCATCAGTTTGTGACCTAAATCTTAAGCATGGTTGGGTTATGCAGCAGGGCAATTATCTGAAGCACACAAGCAAGTCCACCTCTGAATGGCTCAGAAGAAACAAAATTAAGGTTTTGTAGTGGCTGAGAAAGTCCCGACTTAAATCTCATTGAGATCTTGTGGCAAGACCTTAAATGGGCAGTTCATACTGGAAAACCCTCTAATGTGGCTGAATTAAAACAGTTCTGCAAAGAAGAATCAGCCAAAATTCCTCCACAGCAATGTAAAAGAATCATCTCAAGTTATCACAAACATTTGCTTGCAGTTGTCACTGCCAAGGATGGCACACCCAGTTTTTATGTTTAGGGGGGCAAATACCTTTTCACACGGTAAGGATGGTAAGGATTTATTTAAAACCTGTCTTAAATGGAAAGATCATTTAAAAGCTGCATTTTGTGTTTACTGTTGGTGTTTTTTTTTTTGTTTTTTTGTTTTTTTGTTTTGATCTGCAAAATTTAAATGTGACCAATGACCGAAAATGAAAGAAATTGGATGAGGGGACATCATACCAGTAAGCTAAGGCTGTTTTCACGCTTAACTTGTTTTCTAAAGTCCACAGCAGTGTTTGGGTTTTTGTGGCATTGTATCTTTTTCATTTGGTTTGGTTGGTTTCACACTGTAGAGGATCTATTAACTTATTTTGACTTGGAAATTGACAAAACATGTAGTTTGTCCAGGGGCACCCAAGCTTTTGCAGATAATGGTCTGTAACGAACATCCAAATGGGTATTTGTGCATTATGTCTTCAGGGGATCAGTTTCTCAGTTTGTTTCAGTATGAGCCACTACTTTTCTGGGAAGGTATTTGTCTGTGTTGGAGTACATTGTTGCAGCAATTTGATTCCTTTCAGCTGCAGGAGCATTCAGTGAGATCTAGTACAAATGTTGGTCAGTTAGATGTGCCAGCTCCCAGTTTAATCCCAGCTGTGTTCAGTGTTCAAGGGACATCACTTCTGGACGTATACATTGCTATGCTTAATCAGCTTAGTAAATGTTGGGCAGTATGACGGTAATACAGTATACCGCGGTATGTAATGATTATTTAAAAATTATGGTATTCAAAAATGATGACGTCAAAGTTCTGTTTTTGAGGGCTCATTGGTGGTGTGTGAGCAACAGCTCGCTAAGTTCATGTTAAGGTAGCCTATCAGGCTACAGATCCAAACAATGCCACACACCACAGAATAGGTACAATTTTGTCTTTCTGTCCCTTCAACAGCTTGACTTACCTCTCAGATTTTAATCATTTTTAATGTTTAACATTTAGCAGTTTGATAGATGATTTGACATTTATTGAATGATGGCTTGAAAATCGTCCATTCCCTTTTTTTTTTTTAATTTTGAAATAACACTAGACGAAACGGCAAAAAGCACTTTAAGTGACTTCTGTCACCAGCAGCTCAGCTGTAATATATTTTTGTTTGGTTGTTTTTCCACAAATACCCTCATATACCATATTCCCCGGTGTAATGTCAGGAAGATAGGAAAGTATGAAAAAATGAATATATAAAATATTGATTTTCACCCAAGCCTACAGCTTAAGGTGTTCCCCAAAGTGGGAAGCATTTTGAATTCATACGAGATGTGATTAATTCAACCTTACTCCCATTGTGTATTATTATATTATATAATTATATTAAATGACAATTATGATTAATATATTCTGTTTGTTTTGTCTGCATTATATGAAATGTTTTGTTTAACCCTTCACCTTAGTCTGTCACTGCAAGTTTTGCTCATAAAACTCATAGCTCGTAAGTGGTTTGACACTTGTTTAATGTGTCAGCCTCAAAAATCAAAGAAAATGGTTTAAGCGGCTATAACATCTTGTTTAGTCCCTTGTTCAGTGCAGGCCTCTGTATTGTACATTTTGGAAAGGGTATATGAACCCCCCCCCCTCCCCCTTCTCTCCCCTTCCCCAAACTGGTTCCACAAAGTATGAGGAACAATGATGTCCAGAATGTTATTGTATACTGTAGCATTAGGTTTTGACGTCACATTTACAATAATGAAAAACTATTTTGTTTAGCTTTCTATAACTTTTTTTTTTTCGCTGTCGTTGCTCCCAGAGGCAGTTTGCAATGATATAGTGATTTGTTTAAAGAGACGTGTGAAATATATGTGCAGCTGTAGCAGCAAAAAAAATTGAAAAGGAGACCTTGTATTATGTTACTGCATCAAAAATCAGTAATCTAACTATAATGCTGAATTCTGCTGCCAGTGTTCTTCAATTACATGTGCGTGCATGCATGCAGATTAACACGTGCTAGAAAGGGGTCTACCTTAAATAGTTTGAATCCACTAACATGAAAGGCAGTCTGAGTACTTTTGGATGTAAAATGATGTTTATTTGCCTACAGCACTGTGAATAATAAAATTTATTGCCTTTTATCCACAGCCTGTGGACGAACTGCGCTCTGTGGTTTTTGAGATCCTGAAAAAGAAAGAGGCAGAAGGTAATGAGGGAAATGAATATTTAATTTTTAATCTACATTTCCATTTCTCTTTTTGTTCTGAATTTCTCTGGAAAATTAACTTATCCAGCTTCAGTGTTAAGTATTAGAAGTTTTATAGTTTGCCTTATAGGTGTGACTTTTTTTTCCCCAAAAAAAAGATCAGAAGCTAATCCTATTGTATTGCTCTTCCTTTTTGCAGGTTCATGTTCCACTCCGGTACAGAAAGAGAAGGAAGTGCATAGTGAGGAAGAGGGAAAGTCCCGTTGTGACATGCAAACCCCAAAACCTGTTGGTGCATTGATCCGTGGTGCAAAGGGAGACTCATCTGTAATAAAATACAAGATCACAGCTACTCCAGGGTATGTCTAATTTTGTGCACTGATATCTTATATGAACCATTCTTTTGTAGATCATGTTGCTTGAACCATTGGTGAAATATGAAAAAGGCCATAGTCATAAAAGATCATGGTCATAAATGCAAATCAGAGTTGCTAAAAATGAACAGCACATTTCGTAGTGTTTGACAATCTTATGAAGGATTACTGGACACAGAATTGGTTCCTACATACGAAGTGGTTTTTCAGTGCATGTTAGTCTTCTGCCATTTCCTTTAGTCCCTGTTGTTGGAGTTGTAAGGGTTGTATTGTATGAGTGGTCATAACTAATATGAATGTGGTTTGTGTTCAGCGGAAAAAGGAGTCAGCAGAGGGAGAAATTGCAGCGGGTTAATGGCCATGAAATTCGTTTCTTTACTCCAGTACGCCGTTCACTGCGAATCGAGAAAACTGGTCCTCGGTACCCAGCGGCCCTGCAGGAGCACGACCCCTGCGTGACCTCTCTCCAAGACCTTTTGACTGATGGTGAAAGTGAGGTTGACGGCACACATGCAGTAGAGCCACCAGACTCCCCGCTCTATGTGTACCGTGAGAACGAAGCCCTGAAAGAGCATGTTCAGATTGAACTGGTTTATGAGGAGGCAGAGGTGTAACTATGATTCCTAATAGATGTCATCCTGCTTTAAAACTGCATTTTCTACGTCAGCCTGAATGTCTGAACTAAGCAGTAGGTTTGAACAATCACTGAAGGAGGGAAATGATTCATACTTCCTAGTGACTCGCATTCAGCGGTAATGAGTGAAAGGTCATGTCGTAACCAGCCCAGATATCCCAAGTCTTGCTCAGAGCAATAATGGGAAAGAGGAGGGTCTTGTACATTGTTGATTTCTTTTAATCCTTTACAGGGAGTATGTAATTCTGTACAAAGCTTTGGGGGTGACTTGTCTGTGGGACAACAGTGCACTTTTGAGTGAAATAAATAATGTTTTTATGGTTATACAGTGCTTTTTGTGATTTCTTTTGTGGTAGTGTTTGAGTGTATGTCGTAGTTAATCAATAAACAATATTCACTAACGAACAATTGTCTGAGACCATGTATACACCCAAAAGGGTCAGGGTGGCCAAACGTTTTGCTGTGGGGGGGGGATGGAATGAGGTGAAAAACAAAACCATATACAAATAAAGTAAACAGCCTTCAAATCAAGATTTTTGTATTTGCATTTAAGAACATTTGACTATATTTGGTTAAATAATTGTCATATATGGTCCCTTCTGCCAAATTATTTAGTCCCATAGTGGAGTAAAAAAAAAAATAGAAAGACCTTGGATATTTGCAAAAATTGTATAATCTATTTGAATTAAGTGCATTAATACATATTATAATAATAATAATAATAAGCTAAATATATTCAAAATCATTTATAGGGTGCTTTCCCTAACCCCTGAAGTTAAAAAAGATCTTTTTGATTTCTTTTAAAGTGAAGTTAACAGATTTGGATTTAACATTCACTAGCTTATCATAGTATAAAGTTCAGATCTATCTCTCACTTGTCTGACCCAGCTCACAAAAAAAGCTGCATTTTTTCATTTTCTGTTATTAAGATTGATGATTGTGTGTGTGCAGCAGTTCAAAGCTGTTTGCTTAAGTTCTGCTCAGAGTGAGCTCCAGTTGCCTCTACTGAAACATTCACTACTGAAACACTACTGAAAAGTTTCAGTAGTGTTATTGTGTTGGTATTGGGGTCATTCTACAGAAACATCCATTTTTGTGTCCCTAGTGTTTACAGATATATTACACTTGGAAAAAAAAATACAAAAGAGTTACAATTTATTTATTTTTTAAAATAGAACAGTTATTTTACAAATTCACCTTCTTGAGCCGTCAATTTAGCAATATTGGCTTTTAAAAACAATTATCTAGAATTCCAAGCACCACAGAAGTGCTCGTCCTCGCAGGCATGTGTGAAGGCCCTCGTTGGACACACCTTGAGCAGGCTGGATGACTGGATTCGCCAAAGATTTACCCAAGTTAACTTCCAAGTTAAGGACTGTGGACTGAGGCGAGAAAGCAATCAGTGTATTGATAAGATTCAGATTGCTGGTACTGCTTGGGATTTTATGTATTTATTCACTACAGTAAATAAAGTCTTATTTTTTACCAATAAACATTTTAATCTCTGACGAGAAAGATGTGTTATTTTGGATGGGCTGTGGGGGACAAAAAAGGAAAGCTGGATTAGGCAACGCTGCCAGTTTACGGGCCATGAAAATAACTGAGTGGTAAGTGTGTCTATGTGAGGGGGGCGGCGGTGTGCGCATGCGCACGCGCAGTATCATAAAACCTGCAGAGGCAAAGTCAGCGGCTCAGGACCGGCTGATGAACTCGGTGTTGCTGGCACGTCGGAACGGTCTGCAGGTCCTGAAGAGAAACCTCCGTCGGACACGTTCATAACCATATTGATACCGTGTTGATTCTGTGGGAACAAGGCAAGTAAAACTAAAGTTAAGCTCTGGTGTCTCGGGCAGTTTTAAGAGCAAGCATAATGATTTTATCCGATAAAATAAAGAGACTCGATGTCCAGCGCGCATTTGTTACTTGTGAAGCAGCTCAGCTGCTGATGTATGATTGCTTATTTACTACTGTGTGGGGTACACTCTTTAAAAAGATGTAGTAAAGGGAATGGTTCTACTATTTGTATAGTGCTTAAATGGTTCTTTGCATGGTGACATGGCTCTTCAGATTGATGGAGAATGCGTTGTGTATGGTTTTGAAAATTATTCTATAGCACCAAAAAAAGGCTTCTTCCATTATTACAAGCTTGCCATTTAGAGTGGCTCTATGTGATATATAGAACCTTATACAACACATTCTCCATCAGTCTTGAAGAACCATTCTAAATAGAGCCATTGCCTTTACTGTAGAACCATCTTTTTCACCCTAAATCCATCCTCTAAGTGAAATAAAAGCTGCAGGGGAAGATTGTAGTGCATCCAGCATCTGTCAGCATAGGAACTGAGACGTGTTAGACTCCTTTCTTCTCTTTTGGGGGAGCTTTTGGTCTGAAATAAAATAAAATATAGTGAGGTGGAAGTAAGAGCAACAGCAAAGCCATGCAGAAGCTAAACCAACAGAATGATATTAAATGAAAGTGAATTAGGAATGTGTAGGAGTGTAAAAAAAACATTACTTGCATTAGTTTTTTATTAGAACTGAACATAATTTGCTAGAGTACAACTCCAAAAGAACTCTTTAAAAAATACTTAAGTGCAGATAACTGCATAAATGTAAAAACTTACCATGCACCGCTGGTTTTTTAACTTTCTGTCCCACTAAAGCATGAAGCGGACCTTCACGGAGAAGGGCCAGCTGGAAACCAGCACTGGAAAGTATGCCAGGATTGAAACAAAGAGGACGGGAGCGACAATAGTTGCTAAACAAAATCAAGGAAATCAGTCTAATAGTAAGTAACAGTGCAATTTTCTGTTTGTCTGTGTGGATAAGACTTATCTTACAACTATCTTACAATGAAAATATCATTGCAGTGGATTATGGTACATAAATACCTTCTGGTGATACTCAGTTTATTATCATCAACGTTATGGTTAGAGTTAGGTTTAGGAGTAGGTGTAGGTTTTGCCTTGAGGTTAGGGTTAGGGTTTGGGTTAGGGACAGATTTAATAGTATCTTTCACATGCAACTTCAAGTTTAGTTGCATTTAGTAGATATTTATTTGAATGTTAGTTAAAGAGTTACTGAGCCCCAACAAAGCATCTACAGATATCCAAATACAGTGTTACCCAAACTCCTTATAGCCTTAAAAACTTCCAACACATAATCACTTATATAGAGATGAAGCAACAATTGAAATGATGCAAGAAAAGTGTGGGTGTTCTTCCTCTTCTTGCTTGAGTCATTGATCACATTTTTGTAGAAGGTGTAACCTGACTTGGCTGTCAGCAGTGCCACTGGAGCAAATACACTAGAGATGGGGTGTCACCTAGAGACGTACAGTGATGTTGTGTCGGCAGATATTTGCCTACACTCTTAAAAAACATGGTTCTTTAGCAAAGAAAATGGTTCTACATAGAATCATGAGCACTCAAAGAACCCTTTGTATGATTAAAACGTTGTTTGCATTGTGAAAAGGTTCTTCAGATTGCTGGAGGATGTGCTGTAGGTGGTTCTGTGTAGAACCTCTTTCAATAGGGTTCTATACAGCACCAAAAAGGGTTCTTCTGTTGTTGCAAGCTTGATGTTGTAACAATAGAAGAACGCTTTTTGGTGCTGTATAGAACCCTTTTCGAAAATGTGCTGTATAGAACCATAAACAAAACATCCTCCATCAATCTGAAGAACCGTTTCATGATGCAAAGAACTCTTTAACCCTTTAAAAGGCCAGGGCCCAGTTTTATTTCACATTTCTATAACCTAAGAATAGCTCAGCCAGTTTGCATTGAACTCCCTGTAGTTACTGAATATGAAGCCTTAGTATGTAATAAGCCTGGGATTTTAAGGGGTTAATCATGCAAAGGGTCTTTTGAGTGCTCGTGGTTCTATATAGAACCATTTTCTTTGCTGAAGAACCCTTAAAGAACCAAGAGTGTATGAAAAAATATCAGCATCAGACAGCTGTGTAGACTTTACAGATGTTTTACAGTGATATTTGATGAATGGTATTCATTGTACCCCAGAAGAGCTGCATGTTTATTTATTTAGCACATTTTATACACAAAGGCAGTTCAATGTTCTTTACTTAAAAAAACGGAAAAGAACATCAAAGGAACACATAAAGAGGAAATGCCTAAGAGAAAACACAATAAAAATAAAAAATGTAGTGCCTCTGAGATACAAAGTGCCATAGCTTAAAGTAAATAAAACAAATAACGAGGAAGCATAAAAATGAAATTAAAGACAAAAGGTAAAAGTGTTACTGAAATTATAATATTGTTAGTAAAGATATTAAAAGCGCAATGATAAAAATAAAGTGCAGTAAGAATAAAGTGCAAGTCTTAGAGCTCAATTACAGGCACATATTTAAAACCTGGATTAACAGCTAAATACTGCTTCACTGCGTTTTGTTTGTACTCTGGGTTCTACTAGCTGTCCTGTATCTACGAATGTTACAGACCTACTCAGTTTACGTTCTTTTGACATATCAGAGATTTAGTCTGGGCCTAAACCATTCAGTGATTTAGAGACTTGAAAATCTAAAGATTGTAGAACTGGAGTAATGTGTTCTGCTCCCTTGATCCTGGTTAAAACTCTGAATTCTGATTGAATGACAGCTGTTTAATAGTCGTTTTGGAAAGTCCTGTTAAGAGACCATTACAGTAGTCCACCATGGTTCTATAAGTATTTCAAAACTACTACTTTTGCTCAGGATAGACAGATTTGAAATTGATCTAAAGTGAGACGTTATTGAGAAATCAAGTTTAGATTTTTCGTAGTATAGGTTGAAATAACAGCCAGAAAACCATGGGCAAATCGACACAAAAATCAAAATAACCATTTAAATTAATATCATCATAGTTGGTAGTACAGATAGAGGAACTGCTAAAAGTGATGTAAAAAAAATTTGGTAGATTTTGTTCCACAGATGTTCATGTTAATTAATTAAAGTATGGTGTTCCGCAAGGCTCTGTTTTAGGACCTGTATTATTCACATTATATATGCTACCACTGGGCACCATTATTAGTAAACACGGCATAAATTTCCACTGTTATGCCGATGACACTCAGTTATATTTAGCAAGCGAACCGGATGATAAAATTAAACTTAGCAAGATTGAGAACTGTATAAAAGACATAAAAGACTGGATGTCGAGTAACTTTCTCCTTCTAAACTCGGATAAAACAGAGGTTCTGCTTCTTGGTCCAAAAGCGGCTAGAAACAGACTGTCTAATTTAACACTTACACTCAATAATTTCTCAGTTGCATCAAGTTCATCTGTAAAAAACCTTGGTGTCATTATAGACCCTGATCTGTCCTTCGACGCACATATAACTAATATTACTTGAACAGCCTTCCTGCATCTCCGCAATATTGCTAAATTAAGAAATGCATTATCTCTACAGGATGCAGAAAAGTTAGTTCATGCATTTATTACTTCAAGGCTAGATTACTGTAATGCCCTGCTGGCTGGATGTCCGAGCAAAAGCCTTAACAAGCTCCAGTTAGTCCAGAACGCTGCAGCCAGAGTTCTTACTAGAACCACAAAGTTTGACCATATCAGCCCAGTTTTATCAACCTTACACTGGTTACCAGTTAAATTTCGCATTGATTATAAAATTCTCTTACTGACTTATAAAGCTCTAAACGGACTTGCCCCTCAGTACCTGAGTGAACGTCTCTCTCACTATGAACCATCACACCTACTTAGATCACAAGGTGCTGGTTAACTATTAGTACCTAGAATTAATAAAGTTACGTTAGGGGGGAGAGCCTTCTCATACAAAGCCCCCCAGCTTTGGAATAGTCTTCCTGTTAATGTTCGGGACTCAGACACAGCCTCAGTGTTTAAGTCTAGGCTAAAAACTTACATTGTATAGTCAAGCCTTTGGTAATTCGTTTTCCCTGTCAGTTCTTTACCTGCCGGAGTCTCCGCTGCTCTGCTAACACTGTAATCTGTGATCAGTCACCCATTACAGAACCGACTCTCTGTGTGTTTTTCCTTTCTTTTCTTTGCCGAGTTGAACAGCTGCCCATCCTGTGAGTCTGATGCTGCTGCCTCTTCTGCCTTGATCAGGTGCCACTGCTCGCCGTGCAAACCTCACCCTCACAACCTGACCCCACTGATGCTGCATGAACTAAACTAATCAAATTAATCATTTGCTCCACCTGTTTTCCCTGTTTTTGTGCTATAATACTTTATACTAACAATGTTTACTATCCGGTGTCGACCAGAGGAGGATGGGTTCCCCTTCTGAGTCTTGGTTCCTCTCACGGTTTCTTCTTGTTTCTCTTAGGGAGTTTTTCCTTGCCACTGTCGCCTCTGGCTTGCTCATGGGGGCTTGGACCCGGATTTCTTTCTGTAATGTTGATTTCCTTGTAAAGCTGCTTTGTGACAACACCTGTTGTAAAAAGCGCTATATAAATAAACTTTGCTTGCTTGCTTGCTGTTAATTACTTTATATTATTAATAAAATAGCAATTGTGACATATACAAAAAATTGGACATCCTTCTAGTTGTCAAGTCTCAGAACTTAATTGACTCATTAGGACTGGTTAGGCAGGTCATGAATCGTTATAAGAAAGTGTCGGCTACTGACAATTCCAGAGTAAATTAAATTCTCTGACTCTTCAAATCTTCTGCTAACAGTCAACAACCATGGACTTCTCTAAGCAGCTGGCTAAGGAACTGAAAATGAAGTAAATTTGCACTTGCACAAGTGGGGTAGGCTGTAAAGTGCTTGAACCACTATCTAAAATGTCATTTACTAGAAAATGGCTGTTAAGGGGAACTGTGGAAGTCAAGGGAGGATCTCGAAGATCTGGAACTGCTTATATAGTCATTTGCAAAAGTGTGAGCACCCTTGGTCATGTTTTTGTTGATTGTCTGTGGCAATAAGTACACATTCTCTACAAAGAACATACTTCTGCACATTTCAATGCACAGTTGCTGTTTATTTGCTGAATTTAACACACTGGGGGGAAAAACGTGGCATGAAAGTTATGGCACATCTAATATGTTGTGTTTTATATTTTCCATTATGTTCAATTCAGCAAGTACATACACGATTTGCATGGAAGTGATCAGAATAAAACCTTACCTGCAACCTCAGCATCTGAAAAATCAACATCTGAAATATGCAAAACATCGTTTAGATAAGCCAGAGGGATTTTGGAAGTTGGGAAGTGCTGTAGGCTGATTATGTGGTTACAGACCACTTTCATTACAAGCCACTTCATAACACACAATTGATGGAGATGAAAGAATTTGTCTTTATTTTTCATATTAGTGGTTGGTGTGGTGTAGTGGGTAACACCTCTGCCTTCTACGCTGTAGACTGGGGTTCAATCCCCACCTGGGCAAACACCCTACACTATACCAATAAGAGTCCTTGGGCAAGACTCCTAACACCATCTTCGCCTACCTGTGTAAAAATGATCACATTGTAAGTCGCTCTGGATAAGAGCGTCTGCCAAATGCTGTAAATGTAAATATTAGGTTATTTAAAAACAGGTTGCAGCCTGTAAAGATGGCACTACTGAAGGGATTCAACTCTACTCCAGCAAAGCCAACTCACTGGGTTCCTGACCGCATAAACCCCAAGATGGGTGGAAATTTTACCTGCGGAAATGACAGACAAAGAAAAAAGGGCTCCAAGAAAAAAGGGCTCGAATTTCGCCTGCAACAAACACACCCCCTCCCTCAAAAAAAGTATTGGCATACCTAACACAAAAATGAACCACATACACCACCAACCACTGCAAATGTGCAAAGGAAATGTACTGTTTATTGTTCTTGGTGAAGTCCCATCCATCATTCTTCACATCCCAAGTCCTGGGAAGTCCATAAAGATAGGACAAAATGTTTGTCAGCAGCTTTGTTTTCCTGACAAGCTATTGGCAAGACCCTTATCTGAGCTTGCACATGATGTTTCTGCTTTTATTATGCTGTGGTGTTGCATTTATACATTGTTATGAATTTATGACATTTCAGCCCTTGATGATTCATGTGGCAGGGATGAAAAGTGTAATGTTTTAATATTCAGTGAAACATGGCAGAAACATTTACAGCATTCTTTGTTTAATCATTTGGCTGACGCCATCTTACCATTACCCTGGCAAAAAGTGAGTTTGCCATGGCAACGGTGACTGGTCTACACAAACGGGTAGAGCAGGGCCAAGTGCCTTCTTTGCAGGCTAAAGTGCAGGCTGCAGCTCAGTACCCACCTCCAACGACCAAAAGGGAACTGATACGTTTCCTTGGGATGGTGGGATACTGTCAGGGGTTTCTGCGAACGTTTTTCAACACTAGTTGCACCTCTCACTGATTTATTAAAGTTGGGTGCCAAATTTGTTTGGACCATGGCTTGTCAGTCTGCTTTTGAGACTGTTAAAACCCTTCTTGCTTCAGCTTCTGTGTTGAAGCCTCCACAATTTGATCGGCTGTTTAAGATTCAGTTGGATGCCAACAAGATAGGAGCTGGGGCAACAAAACAAAACTAATCATATGAGCTAAATGCTAATAAGGACCATTTTTAATTTAACCTTACTACACATCATTTGCTTGCCCCCAAAACACCAAAATGGCAGTGGAATGTTTCGTACTGAAGAGCTCAGGGATTTTAATGTGGTGTTTCAGAACATGATCTTTGTAAAAGAATTCAGTTTGTGAAATATCTGCCCTCTTAGATCTGCCTGGGTCAACTGTAAATGCTGTTATTGTGAAATGGAAGCATCTAGAAAAAACAACAGCTCAGTCACAAAGCAGTAGAACACACAAACACACAGAGCGGGGCTGCCAAGTTTTTAAGTGCGTAGCATGTACAAATCACTCTCACTACAGAGTCAGGAGAATGCTGCTTACTGAAATGTATAGTCCCAACAGTAAAGTTTGATGCAGCAGGGATAATGGTCTGGAGCTGCTATTCAGGGTTTAGGCAGGACCCCTTAGTTCCAGTGACAGGTAATATTAATGTTATTACATACAAAGACATTTTAGACATTTAGTCATTGGAGGTTAACTCCATATTAAAGCCCATGGTTTTATAATGGGATGTCAAACATACACATATAGGAGTGATGGTCAAGTGTCCACATACTTTTGGCCATATAGTGTAATTACTGATTTAGTGGCCTTTCCAAAGTTTTGCAAATGCCACAATTACTAGTTTTTGATGTATTGTTCTATTTTTTATACTAAATATAAAGTAACTACATTCAACATTTGCAGGAAAAAATATATTTTTAGAATAGTTTGTGTCATTTTGCCTCAGAAATCAACAAAATGTGTAATTTGGCTAGGAGTGCCCAAAGTTTTGCGTACAATTGTAAGTACTTTTCTGTACTTCTTGCAAAGTAATTCTCAATTTAATTTTTACATTTTTTTTCAGTTACTGTTTATAGGAGTTGCGAGAATGATAACAACGTCTACGTGGCGTTCTGCTTTGAACTGAAAAACAAGAAGTATTTTCCTGTAGTAAAGAAGCAAGGAGACTCAACAGCTCCTGTCCAATTCCAGGTATTTTACGCCTCTGTTGCTTAATTTTATTTCTAGTGTGTATTTTTCATTTGTGCATTGCTCATTTTAATAAATAGTTTTCATACTAACATTTGAAATATTGCTTATTACAGTGCTCCTTTCTCCACCCTAACAGGTGGAACTGCTGAATGATGAAAACGCTTTAGACGATTCGTTCCTGTTCAGGTGGACTGAGGCAAAAGGAGGCTGGAAATTCCTGAATTCTGTGGCAGAACCCTAGCCAGTACTTGTCTGTCTATAGAAACCAGTTCACCCTCACCACCACACCAACAATTCATTTCAGATTCAAATCCAGCATCCGCCTGAATCAAATGAAGAGAAAAAAATGATTAATTTCTTTTTTCTTTTGTTGCTAGCCAGCACGTCAGTACATCTTTACATGTAACCATGTAACGGCATTATTAACAGGTTTATATGCAGTGTAACTCCTGAAAATATCTAACCTGAAGATTATTTTCACAAGTAGGCCTCTGTACTAACCACACATAATGCACACTTACTTTACTTTGTATTGTAGATTTTAAGAGACTAGCTGTCTCTACTATGCCAGACAAAAATGCCAAGCGTATTCATATACCATATTTTCATTTTTTCACTGTATAAACAGTTGTATCCAAACGTTTAAGCACTCCTCACCAAATTTTGGCTGATTTTTCAAGTGAAAAGAAGGAAACACAGCCTCTGTTTGAATGCCATACTAAGTCAGTACTACGTCGTTTTGGGCCATCTTGCATGCACAGCATGTATAAATGATCTACCCACAGATTTTTAATGATGTTCAAGTCGGGGGACTGCGAGGGCCGTTCTAAACCTTCAGCTTGTGTTCAGCCTAGAAGTAGTTCATGGTGGATTTTGAGGTATGTTTTGGATCATTGTCCTGTTGTAGAAGCCAACTTCTTTTGAGCTTCAGTTTCTTGACTGGCTGTGTCATAGAATTCTTCCAAAATTTGCTGACATTTAGTGGAATCCATTCTTTCATCTACCCATGCAATGTTTCCTGTGCCACTGGCTGCCACACAACCCCAAAGCATAATAGATCCAACCCCATGCTTAACAGCTGGCAAGTTGTTCTTTTCATCAGCACCGCTCCTTTTTTCCCAAACATACGTCTGGTGATTGTGGCCAAAGGGTTACTTTTTTTACTTCATCAGTCCTAGATGTCTAGAAGTCGCCAGTAAGGTTTGCTAAGGCTTGTAAGGTTTAATTCATGCTGTCAAAAGGGGGTTGTTCTTTGCCTTTTTGGTCAGCATACAAACAGTTTTATCTGAGAATTTTCATAGCCTTCAAGATCTTACCTTTATTTCCGCAGTTCCTCTTGATGACATTTCGGACAGTGGATATCGCAAACTGGATGCGCTTTGATCCTTTTATAGCCTTACCCTTCTTTATAAGCATCAGTTAGCTTCGTTTTCAGATCCTTAGGCACAATCCCATTTCTTATTTTTACCCCTACCCCTTGTTTCCGAGTGTCACCTTGTCCCTTGGAACTGAGTACAAGGGGTAATGGTTGAAATCTTCCCCTACAAAATGGGACGACCCACAAATAAAAAGAGCATTACTTCATTAACAGGCTACTAGCAGTGCCCTGTAGGCAACCCTGCCAGTCTTCAGTGATAGCAGAGGAGGGTGAAGTTCAGCAACCTCGCTGCTGGGCTTTAGTTACATTTAGGGAATCATATGCCTTCAAAGAGGGGGGATATGACAGTTATTTATTATCGCCCACCCCTAATTCTTCGGTGATATGAAGCTGAAGTCAGCTATTTGCCAGCTTCTCGTATGAATTTTCCTATTCCAGAAGTTACATTCTAGTGCTTCAGGTGCCAGTACCGCTGGACTATTTAAGGTGGAATGGGAAATTTAGGCAGTTGGCTACCAAGACATCAGCATAATATTAGCAATTGTTTATGCTTGTTTTGAAGAAAAGGGCCATAAGATATTGAAACGACATTAACCTAAGATAATATAATGGTTATCATATTTTTTTAACAGAGAAAATTCTCACATTTGTGGGTTTCTTTGGTCGCTTGCGCAGCCATCTTGCCGGTTTTTCTTTTTTTCTCATAACACTCTGTTTGGAGTGTAACTCTGGAAAACGTCTGTTTGGAGGGCCATGTAGCCCTAACACTTCACCCTGCCTCTCTATCTCAACAAAAATCAGGAAACCCTACCCCTAGGCATGAACGCGCAAAACGGAGGGGTAGGGGCAAGGGGTGAAATGGGACTGAGCCTGCTGCTTAGAGATGCCCATTCTTGTTGAGTGTTGGCACAAGATTCAGAGAATCAGAGAAGAATCAGACAATTTATTACACTCTGAAATTGTTTTCAGGTAAAAATTCCTGGCCTGGCTAACCAGTCCTAACAAGTCAGTGAAGGCCTATTGAGTTACGTTCTGAGACTTTACAACTGTAAGAGCGTCTAAACGTTTTCACATGCCATTTTTTCTTTTTAACTTAATGCAGCAGTCACTATATATTTGATTCACACTTGCAGAAAAATGTTATTTTTTAATAGTCTGCTGCAGAGGATGTATTTATTTCTTTTCACTTCAGAAAAGTATGGAGTATTTGCCCAGTATTTGCCCAGGGCTGCCTGACATTTTGCAGACAACTATATTAGTAGTTGAAGAGATATCATTTTAGCTGCCTTTTTACATGCTTACAGATTAATGTCTGATAAATAGAAGCAGTGCATTCCATAGTTTGGTGCAGAAAAACAAAGCTACCTTTACACTACTTCTGTTTTTTAGTTTGGATATTTGAAGTAGGCCAGCATTTACTAAACTGTGATCATGTAATGGAGTGTGTGCAGACAGACTTGGAGTTAAGTTTGCAGGTGCTGAATCGTTGTGTTTTTAAACACAAGCAACCAGTGTAAATCTTTCAACACAGGATTGATATACGATATGTCCAAATAGATCCTGAAACCACTTCCAATTAGCAGTCACTTTAAGGTGCACCCATTGTTGACACAGGCATTTAATTGCACACACACACACGGCTTTTTGGAGTCTAAAGTGTAGGTTTACTCCCTGTCCCGGAAACCAGCCCACAGTGTTTGTGCTTAATCTTGATTGATGTTGTTTGGGAAGCCCAGAAAGGAGAGCATTACTATAATCCAACATTTTGGCCTTTGCCAAAAAGTGATCATTGTATTTCTGCTTTCTATTAGGTTCCACAGACTTCACCCACTGCCCTACATGCCATGGTAAAGACATGACAATAAGGGGATAGGCTTTCAAAGGTAATTACACTGATTCAGGGGTTACTAAACTGAATACGTTATTGTAGTTTTAAATAGACACAGTGGCAGGTTTCATACACTTCAGAGAAGCTGTATATTTGCCTCTGTCCTTTCAGATTGGTAGTGCTGTCGTAGATTGATGGGAATGATTCAGCTCACGTTGAGAATGAGCCCAAACATATAGGCTCTCAGACTACTCAACCAGATCACTTTGGTAAACATGAAAGGAATGCCTGTTGAGATGGACAGTATCAGAGGCTTAAAACTATTGGCGGTTTGATAAAGCACCTTTTTAGTGCACGTATAGTATCAAGTAATATGAAGGTTAAGAACAAGGCTTGGCTTTGGCTTATCTTTTCCTGTTATAAACGTTGTGAGTTATTCCATTGATGGCAGTTTATTGTCTGATAAAGGTTGGTCTACTTCCACTGGTAATTAGTGTTCTCTATTTGTTTTGCATATAGTTTTGTAGTTTTTGAAGGAAACAGCTGGAATAACAGCTGTTGTATAGTGGAAAACACAATATTATTTCTCTAATAAAGCAATTATTCATAAAACATCATTGATATTTTGGTTTTATTGGTTTTGAAAAAAGCCCATATATATATATTCACTAAATAAACAATCACTTCATTGATTGTTTATTGAGGGTTTTTTGTACTGCAACATTTTGCTTGCTTGCATTTACTGTCTTCTTGGTCTTCTTTTAGATCAAGGTCTGTTCTGATGGGCTGTCCTGCATTGTTCATAGCTCAAAAAGAAGTCGGGGCTAAAAACTTTATGTTGGGTTAAATGGGTTAAACAGACAAATATGCAAATGTCTTATATTATGACATCACGCAGACAAATTTCCGTACATGGACTGGGGAGTGAATGGTACGATTTAAAATGTTAACTAAGTTTTATAAGTGTTTACATACTACAACTAACTTACCTATATTTTAGAAAGCGAGGGAAAATTGGTTTGCTGATATGACCATATGACCCAAATCTGTTAACTTCAGCACTTTATGCTTGGAGGTCTATGTGTTTACCTTTTTCATCTTTATCCATCTATGCTTAATTTGAGTCTACATAAATGCATTAAACAAGGCAAATACAGTTACAGTGTTTTACAATGCCTTTTTATTTTTTGTGTACAGTGGCACAACAAAGTATTTGGACACTGGAACTGTTGGTAAACTCTGTAATGAAGTTCTTTAGCTTGCTTGATAAAATGTTTAAAGAAAATGATATTTGTTTCAGAGAAAACACTTAGCACATCAAGTAGATGGTGGACTCTTTGTGTGGAGAAAGTCTGGAGAAAAACTCTAACCAGACTGCACTAAGGCTGCTGTAAAACACAGAGGTGGAAACCATAAAGTCTGATGTCTGGGGAATTGAATTTTTATTTCTTGCACGCAGGTACCACACATTTGCCAGCCTGTTAAACAGTAGATGGTCACAATTATATAGGCTGGACTGATGCCAAGATTAGGCCCAGCGTATACATGACACGTGACAGGTGTGACAGACATGACCATATAGGGCTAGACAAAAATAGGCAGAACAGAATGTTCCAGGTACAATACATGGTTCAACACACAGTACTGAATATAATAACAAATATATAACACAGCACTAAACAGATTACACAGCAGTACCTTCCTTCAGCATGTACCACCGTTAATTGTGATTGACGTGTTTCTGTGCTTTCTCTGTGAATGTCTTCCGTTAGGGAGTTATCTTTTTCCTCCACATACCCAAAAAATTAGTGTGTAAGTTGTGTGTAGAAACACATAAGTATATCTTTAGCTTCCTATGGCAACATAGCAACACTGAGTCTAAATATAGGTCTCTCTCTCTCTCTCTCTCTCTCTCTGCTATGTGAGTCAAATCTTTTCTACCACACAAAATCCCCCTCTGGCGCCCCCCTGCTTCAGCTCTCATCATTTCAAATCTCTCCCTTCTTCCCTCTTTCACCTCTCCCTCTCTCCTTCTTTCATTATTTTCTCCCTCTCTTTTCTATCTGTTTCCTCTCTTTGTCTTTTTCCTCTCTCTCCTTCCCTCTTTCTTTTTCTCTCCCCACCTCACTGTTTCTCTCCGTCCACTTTCTCTTTCCGTATGTCTCTTTCCTCTTTCTCTCTTTGTCCCTTCTCTTTCTTTCTCCTTTCTTTTTTCCCTCTCTCTCTCTCTCTCTTTCATTTTTGTCCTTTTTTCTCCCTTTCTTTCTATTTGCCTTTCTCTCACTCATTATCGTTCTTTTCCCCTCTGTTTCTCCTTTTTTTCTGTCTCCATTTCTTCCTGTCTTTCTCTCTCCTTTCCTTTTTCTCTCCATCTTGCTTTCCTCTACACCCCCGTCTTTCTCTCTATCTCTCTCTCTCTCTGATCCAGAGCGCGGATTGGTGACCTTGTTGCCATGGGTAGCTTTAGATTTATATGAGCCGTAATTGGGGGACACACAGAAGCGACTCAGCAGGGAAACCTCTCTGCTCTTTCACTCGTTCCTGTGAATAAAACAGTCTCCAAGAAACGAGTAGCCCCGTGTCTCTGGGTCTTTCTTTCTTTTTGCTGATGCGGAGATTCTCATGTTTCACAGCAGAGCAGTCAGAATCAGCATCAGGCCAAGTATCTCTGCACATAGAAGAATCACTCAGTAGCTGATAATAGGATTTTTTTCACTTGTGCAGTCATATTGACTTCCATTCCTGAATGCTTCATGCAGTCACCCATTCAGACATCCGTTCCAATGAACATTCACTCAAGCACACATTCATCAATAAAAACAGTGTGCAATGTATTTTGTATAAAGCTGAGCAGCCAGAAAATAGGTAACAAATACTGGATTAAAAACTGCGGTGCATCATGGCAGTACTTATTTGCATTAACTATTCATGAGGGGAAAATGATTTGCATCAGCACATCAACATCAGTTGCTACAGCATGGTAGATTAATTTGAATTAAAGAGCTAAACTAGCTAGGACAGAATGAACTGTCCCCTATATCAGGGCATGGTAACCCAAATGTTAAGATGAGCCATTTTGTCTTTTCAACAAAAATCAAACCAAGTTGGGAGCCACAACATTTTATGTCCATTTTATTATCTTGGCTGTAAAAATCTCTCAGTATGTGCTAATGTTCTAGAAAAGGCTAAAAAAATATAAAATAAATGAAAACGCAGACTTACTTTGCTCTGCTTTAAGCTTTAGCTCAGCTATAGCTGCTTTCTCGCATCTCCAGCAGGAAACTTTTTAGTGTTTGACAGTTTCTCGCTGCAGATTAAATGTATCAGGAAACCAGCTGAAGTGCTCATGAATGGAAATAAGTCCAATTGTCTCTAAATTATCCATGTTTTTCTTAAATATTTCTCTTTGCCATTTCGTTACCTACTAGCTAGGTGAGATTGTTGTCTGTGTTGCTATGTGACCAGCAGTCTTTATGCCAACCTTCAGGATTAAAGGATGAATTAGCAGTTCTACATTAACTCCAGCTTTTAAGGCCATTTATTGTGAAAACTGTGTTGAAAGATCAGCAGAGCTTTATTTTACTGCAAAGGAGGATTATTTTATTTTTACCTAAAAATCTAGTTCTGCTGTGGAGCCGCAACAGGACAGTAAAGAGCCGCGTGTGGCTCCGGAGCAGCATGTTGCCGACTCCAGCCCTATATCATTGCTGTAAATCTAAATAGTGCTACCGCATTTTGACTCAGGCTAGTCATTGCATTTTAACTGATAGCCAATGTATATTAGCATTGAAGTTCAGTATTGAAATGCTGTAGTGTTTCATATTGTAGGTATGATTGTATTCTTTTGCACTGACCTGAGATCAACAGTGTTTTTTTTATATATTTTGAGACATAGAAGTCTTGCAAAAATGGGTGATTTGGGTGTCATGTTTTTGTGTATTAAGTATAAAGAAACTTTCCAGCATTTTTCAATCTCTAGACTCTGTAGCATATGATCAGTTGTCAAGGAGAAAAATATTGCCGTAAGGTTGGACAATATGGCAAAATACAATAATATCACAATACTTTTCATGCAGACATTTTCACTATACACAACATACATCCCAGCATAATTTTTTCCTGAGGGTTCTATATTTAATATACTATGCTGCATTAAATCCTATTAAACACGACCCAATCTGCTCGATTTTAATGAAATATGTAGTTGGTCAGCATTTTTAAGTACAAACAATATCCACAATATGCTCAGAAAAGTATATAACATAGCTTGACTTCTCATGATACAATAAAATATTGTCATATTGTCCACCCTTACCGATGCATTTCCCTGTACCATTGCCTCAATACACGTTTACTATGGAGTACAATGTAATAGAATAGATTCAGCACCTGCTTCGATTGTAAAGCCTGTTTGGAGATAAAGGTTTTCTGTTGTATTCTAAGTACAGGGTAATAACTGGCTGTGGTAACTGGCTGTAAGCTACAGGTACATCAAATAGAGATTAGGTTGAAAAAGTGGAGTATTCCTTTAAGGCTAGAATGTGTTTGATGAAAGCTGATCCTGGATCAGGCACAGCGCTACTGTAGAGCCCTGTGTAGTGAGAACCTCTGGGTCTATATCTAAATGGACGAATAAGTGACAGCTGTGCTGGTCAGTTCGTATCTTATCCTCATCTCGGCAGGAGGCCACAGGATGTGAAATAATCTCCTCTGCCACTGGCACGCTGCCCAGCACGGTATTACATGCCCTTGAACTGTCCTCTCCGCTGTAGCCTCTCCGTCAGTGGATCAGTGGAGATGCTTTGTGAGCGTGTATGTGCATTCTCCTCTAAACGTGAAAGCATCTCTGAAGAGGAGATTACACAGGCCATTGGGTTTCTGCGTCTATATTTCAAGTACATTGCAGTCCATGCATTCCAAACATTAATATATCTCAGAATATACTGCCATATTAACCAAATCTATTTTAAAATACATTTGTATCAAAATGTATGGAGAAATATGACACATAGAAATGTACCATACAAAAATAATGTATGTAAATATATGTAAATAGCCAAAATACCGTCTAATGCCGTTTACTGGTTAGAATTCCCTTTGAAATGGTTGTATGATTGATGCACTGTCACTATGCAGTTATGATTTGATATCCTGTTATTTGAAATATATTTTATGTGAGTGTCTTACTGCAAATGTCATGGTTGATGCAAAGCACAATGCCAAACACAGTAATCATCAACATTTTGTTATATCTGTAACCTGTACATACAATTACAAAAATATAGACACAAATAAATGCATTTTTAAAATATATTTAACAAATATTTTTTGGCCGTTTGCATATATTGCAAAAATATATTTGATAAATACACTGAGGATATATATAAATATTTTTCCATAAGGGTTATTCCAGTGAAGAAGAGGGATAATCATGACTTCCCAATTATATCTTCCACATAATGGAGGAGTGGAAAATGAGGGAAAATTCAATTGTTGCATATTAAAATTGTGTAACAATGTTATATTCTTGTAAGAATTGAATTTGCACATGCAACAGTTCAGATTGCAGATTCTACATCTAAGAATTTTAATATGGCAGAATTTTAATTTTATTTTTTTTTAATTACCACATGTTCAAATTCTATTCATACAATTCCTCTTCCTTAACATTTTTAACTCCTCTTATTTACTTAGCAGGCCAAGTTTGCTTAATGCTGGCTTTCATATTGGAACGGTTTCAAATAGGTCAGATTTACTACAGACGGTCATTTGCTGTTCATGAGTAAACAAATAAAGTCTTTTGCACACTGCTGAGCCTGTTTAGAGCACTGTTGTTCAGCTAGGTTACTGATGACTATACGCGTTTCATTCTTAGTCATAACTGCATTCATAATATGTTCTAATTTGGAAAAAGTAGTGTCTTAAAGGAACAGGGATGCCCTGACCCTTTCAGTCTTATTGGACTATCTAATAATTCTGTTATATTATATCAAGCTGCTCTAGTCACCATGGTTTTGACACCCTGAATCATTAAATCACAAATGACACTGAGTTACGTACATTGTTCCAACTGCACAGTGCAAACGATTCACTGAGTCATAAATCCAATTATATTAAAATTAGTTTTCCTATTCCTGGGTGGATAGTATGCAGATCTAAAACATCCGTAGCTGTGAAGGAGTATGTGATGAAGCATGTAGTAAAACTCAAGAGTCAACTGTAATTCTTGCATATCAGCATTACACTCAACTCTTGATGACTCACAAATGCAGTAAATCAAACCTTTCATCATCAGCCTCAAGCTGTCAAATGATGATGTCACTCAAAGTGCCATGCTGAAGCTGCTATTTTTGAAAAACTGTGAGCCACACTGTAATAATACATTTACAGTTGTTGCAAAGTTATTAATATAGCAGAGCGATCAGTAGAGAGCACACTGATGTTAACAAACTGTTGAATGAGTCCTTGGTCAGATTTGTCAATTCAGCATTACTTGTCTATATACAATGGAGTAAATGTACTTTCAGCTCCATTACGGTGGATCCAAAGACTAACAGGAAAAGTCATAGGTGTTTATACATACATACATCCATCATCTAAACCACTTATCCTTCTGGGTCGCGGTGGGGTGCTGGAGCCTATCCAAGCTGTCATTGGGCGGAAGGCAGGACACACCCTGGACAGGTCGCCAGTCCATCGCAGGGCAGACAAACAGACATACACATTCACACACACCCAGGGGCAATCTCAGCATGTCCAATTGGCCTGACTGCATGTTTTTGGACCGTGGGAGGAAACCAGAGTGCCCGGAGGAAACCCACGCAGACACGGGGAGAACAGGCAAACTCCACACAGAAATGACCCCAGTCGCCTGGCCAGGAATCGAACCCAGGCCATTCTTGCTGTGAGGCGACAGCGCTACCGTGCCGCCCTAGGTGCTTATAGTATTAGAGAAATTTATACACGGAAGGATTTTGTACTCTCCATTTATAAAACATCTACCACCATGTATGCCAGCAAACTGTTCTTAGTTGCAGGTAGTCATCTCACTTTTTGTTTTAGTAATTTTTAGGCTTGGCAACATCTTGCCTGAGCTAGCGCCACTTGGGGTGTGATGATGAATATAATTCTAGATACAATAAATCACGCTGATCTGTATTGTTTTGACACAAATGCCATTAATATATTAATTATGTTTTAACACTATCTATATTTTTGTACTTTTTAAAAATTTGGGGGCCTAAACTTGTGAGTATGCCATTTGTGGATGTAATTTAGAGCTTTGGTACACTTCAAATAGCACAGCAAAAGTACTCCAGGTAGGCATGTGTCTGAAAATGCAGTAGCGAACACTGGACAAAAAGTATCCAGATGCTACACATCTGCTCAAATACAGAAATCTGTGAACGCTGACCACTATTCACTGCCATAATTCACAACAGTAACAGGACTGAGGAGCTTCTGAGACTTACCAAAGCACATTAAAACACGTTTTCTTAATTAAATACAAGATGCTTGCAGAACAGTCATCAAAAGCTCAGAGTTTAGCTATGCAGTTGTAGTCTGTCCAAATGTTCCACAGTCACATACTTGTTGTACCCTGTAAGAAGCAGAATGCTATGTATGTATTCTATGCAAGTATTCTACATTGTGCATACTATGTAGTATTTAATTTGGGACACATTATTAGTCAGCCTTCTAATCCAGAGAGTACGTGTGTCAGTTGTGCTCTCTTGGACTCCCACCCACAAAGGGTAGTGACATCACTGCTTAACACTGTGGCATCTCCTACTCTAATGCACACTTAATTTACAGAAACATAAGCCCCTTTTAAAATAATTTCCGGAAATGGCCATATATAAGCCACAAACTGAGTTCAAGTAACATACTACTCCATCGTTTATGTATTTATCCCGACCCCCCAAACTCAAATGAGAGTCATTTCCTCAGCAAAGAATTTTTATTTATTGTTGAAAGGAAGTCTGTGGAGAGTTAGGTACAGCAGAACGATCTGGACTGAACAGCTGCCTTCGTCACAGGACACGGTACAGAAAAGACAGAAGTCAAAACTCAAAACAGATTCTAAAAGTAGTAGAAAATTACTATTGCTCCCCGGTGGTGTGTAGTATGGGCAAACTCTTTGCTGTGTCAAGGGCTTAAAACCAAAACCAAAAGAAAAAGGATCAAGGAAGGCTGCAGACACTGGGTCTAATAAATGTGCAAAAGTGTCACATTTTGCAATCAGGTAACACATTGCTCCTCCTTCTCTTGACAAAATAAAACTTTCGATATTAGAGCATACAGTAATCAGAACAGGTAGAAAAAAAAATAGGAACAGAGGGTGGTTGTAAACTGTAACAGGCATGCACTTTATCATGGAAAAGAGTAGTGAATTGATGATAATAGGCTGTTCTGGGAGATCATAAACATCTTGTGACTACTGAGATATAAATAATTAAAATGGCAAAAAGAATGCTGTCCTTGTGGGGGATGGAGAAAAAAAACTTAGGTCAAATTAAATTTGCTGGCAGAGAGACAGGATGCAAACTAAACTGAATTTAAAGCATCTTAAATACTGTTTCTATGTTGTCATCTGTGATTTGCTATTATTCTTATGGCCTTCCATCCATAAGGAACATAGTAAAAGTTAAGGAAAAAACAGTAAGAAATATCCCACCGGATAATTGCATCCGATTGTTTAAATAAGCCTGTTCAGGAAGCATTTATAATTGATTTTATATTCCTATATATAAATATATTTCTATATATATATATTTCTGTATATCATTTTTAAAAATAAGTCTTTACCCCTGTTGGGTGTTTTTTTTTTAGGTTAATCTCATCTCTTTTCCAGTTAATGCACGAAAGCACTCAGTATATTCAATTCAAAAACTTCTAATTTGACAATCAATCAATCAAACTCAGACTGATATTGTACTACCAGTGCTTTGCACACAAATCTCCAAAGCACTGGTCCAAAACAGGCCAATAACATTCCCTTTAAACACAATGAAACCCCAGTATCTATGCTAACCTTTGCAACTTAAAAGTGCAAAGTGGCATCAGTAATTTGTGAATCAGCATAGGTTACAGGCCAACTTGTAGGCTTTGTGTGCTTTGTCAATCCCCCCCACCATCTCTATAAGCACATTCTCCAATAATTTAGTATGTACATTCATCCCCATGACTAGTTATGAATCCTACATGTTCTTTCCTGACAAGAGAAAACCAGAGTTTAAAAAGAGAACATAAACCTCTGCTGATGCTTAAGGGAGGTGGTGAGACGTTTTCATAGCACCTTTTCTGGTTGAATTATTCCACTCTATGTGGCTTTATATACTGCAAAATGTCCAAGCCGTGGCTTGAACTGCGCCAGAGAGTCCAACTTACAACTTTGAATTCAGCAATTTGATCCAAAATGTGATAAATAACGTTACGTTAGCAGAACAAACCTCTTAAGTAACCTTTTCTATTGAATCCATATCGTTTTATCAACGCTGGTCTTGTTATGGTAAACACACCACAAGCACACTACATAATCTCTTATCTTTTTTTTTAAGAAAAAAAAACAAAGTAATACTGTACCCCCATTACGAAGCTGAAACCAGCTTCTTATTCGAATTTCCCCGTTCCACCTTAAATGGTGCAGCAGCGACTGCCGCACCATTTAAGGTGGAACGGGAAAACTCGAACAAGAAGCTGGAGGACAAGAAGCCGACTTCAGCCTCGTAGCCTCATTTGAGTTCATATACACACTAAGAACAGTTCAGAGGGGTTTTAATGGGTAAGGGAGCTTCTTTTCTCCATAACATTTAAAACCGGGTTGCACCAAAAGGATCTTCCAGACAGCTAGGCCTACTGCAGCTAACCTAGCTAGCTAGAAAAGTCGTTTAGCTAGCTAGCTAGCCAGCTCATCTACACTGATTTAAACAAGAATCTTTTTTTGTTGTTTTTATTTACGACAGTGTTTCTCAGTCATACAACTTTATTCGCCATAGTTTTAGCACTAAGGTTCGATTCGTCATGCACATTTTTATTATTATTTTCTTGCCTCACGGAGTTGTCAAAAACACAACAGACCAGCTGACTGGATCAGTCATCGTCAACGTCGTCGCCCTCCGACTCTTCTCCTCCTCTCCTTTCGTACATTTTATCCCTCTGCCTCTCCTGTATCTCCTTCATCTCTTCGGCGTAGCGGCAGAAAGCTCCCCCGAACTTGCTCCAGGCTTTGAACGGTATCGTAATGGAGTTCCTGTAGCTGGGTTTGACCTCGCTCACCCTCAGAAACACTCCGTACTTGTTGGAGCCCACGTCGAAGAAAAAGCGCTTCGAGTCCACCGTGATCGACGTGCCCTCGGGAAGCTCCCCGTAACCTCCGCCGCCGCAGCCTCCTCCGCCGACCAGCTCCTCGTCCTCGCCGCCGTAGTCGTCTATCAACTTGGCCAGCGCGTCGCGGAACTCTATTAGTCCCTGAGCCGGGAGGGCGATCGTCTGTCCGGACAGCATGCCTCCTCCGCCGGGCACGCCTCCTCCTCCGCCGACCCCAAACCCGGGCCCGCGGTTGACGGTCTGGCGGATCCTGAGGAACCTCCCACGCTGGTTCTCCTTCAGATCGAGGTAGTATTTTCTGTTTTCCCTCACCAGGAACTCGCTCTTCAAAGCCCGCCGGGGCCCGCCGTCATCGCCGCCCGAGGACTGGGCGATCTGCTCCGGGGTGCTGGGCCCCAGCTGGGCGTAGTGCTCTATGAAATCTCCCAGGTAGTCGCGAAACTCCGCGGCGACCGACATGGAAAGTGTCAGCCGACTTTTGGAGCCTCCGGCGCCGACCTCGGCGATCTTGATGAACCGGCCCTTCGCGTTCTGCTTCACGTCCAAGTAGAAGCGCTTGTTCTGTATGTCAAGGCGTTTGGAGGCCAGCTCCTGGGTCTCTTGGTCCCGCTGGAAGTGCGGAAAGCCACCGCTGCCTCCACCCCCTCCACCGCCGCTGCTTCCACCGCGCTCACTCCCACTGTCCCCATCCGCCATCTTCACCATCACCAGGAGCTGCTCCTGCGTCCTGCGCAGCTTTACCGCTCGCCCTCCTTCACGGACCGAACGGAGCACGAATTCCCTTTGTCCTATTGGATAAACGGCTGTCCATTATTCCAGCGCGCAGCTCTCGTTGGCCGATCCGTAGTAGCAATCAAACTCGTAGTCCCGCCCTCACTGTTCCCCTTCATGCACTCGAGTAGGCACACATTCCCGTCATCCCATTGGATAAGCAGCTTGTACGTTACTCCAGCAAACAGCTCTTATAGGCCAGGTCGCATGCCAATCAAACACTTTTAATCCCGCCTTCATTATGTTGTCAACCCTTGTTGTCAAGGCGATTGGTTCACTCTTCTGTCGATACAGATAAAATAACCTGGACAAAAAATAGGATCAGTACTCGCAAGACCCTTTTTCACATAGTTTAAACCTAACACCAACATTATTTATTCAATTACGTTACCTCACTGCTTCAAAAAACCCTCCTCCAGTAAAAAGGCAGTAACGACAATTCTTCAATACTTCAATTATTAAATAAATTTAGCACAAATTATATTTTGCTCCGTACACTTTTGCTACGGTTGTTTGTCTTCCTATCTCATTTTCCGTACTTCTTTTTTATTTTGTTTTCCTTGCTGTTCATATTGTTAACCAGTTCAATAAAAATATGTACATTAAACCTATAGATAGTTAAATTTAATTGATATAAGGTGGGTTTTAGTAACATCATTTGCGACCCCCCCCCCACACACACACACATGCATACAGCGAAATAAAGTTTTTGTAGTTTTTTTTTTCATTCTGTACATTTTTGCAGTTGTTTTAAGCCCCGCCTACGTGCCTGTATTTGCAAAAGCCATACATCAGTGGGGGATGGTAACGGGGTTTTTAACAAGGTGTGCTTTCATTGGTCGCACGTAAAATTCGAACCAAGAACGGCGGTGGTCATTGGCTGCCGTCTCCGCTCGGTATGCCTTGAGTATTCTCTCCGAAAGGGGCTTTATTGTTCCTCTGTGTTTGAGGCGAAATTGGTTTAGCTCCCGAATCCACATCCAAAACAACAAAACGTTAAAATGGTATGCTTTTTGTGGTGTCTTTCTATAAGTATGTTCGTTTGCCCGCGGTTCGCCGAACAGGGTTGGGTTTGCTCGCGTGCTTTTACTTTGTGTGACTGAATGCTTTTAAATGAGTAAAACACTCGGGTAGCTTAGCTGGCCCGCTGCTAAATTCACCGCTGTTGATTTCTCTCAGCCTCTGAAAACGGCACCGTTTATTTTAAGTCCGTGTTTAAACGTTTTGCGACTATCCGTCGATAATCATGGGTCATTTAAAAACCTGCTCGATGTTAAATCCATTCGTTGAAATTAGACCGAAAGAGCTAACGTGGCTCTATCCGAAGCTGCAGATTAGTACGGCTAACGAAATTCGACTATTCCCGTTCCACCTTAAATGGTGCGGCAGTTACGTTCTGTCACCTCAGGCTCCAGATGTAACTGCTGCACCACTTAAGGTGGAACGGGAAAATTCGAACAAGACGCTGGCGAATAGGAAGCCAACTCTAGTCTCGTGTACGGGTAACGTTAGATGGTTGGCTACAAAGAGGATGTAGCTAATCTCGGTGTACGTAAACGCTGCAAACTTTGTCTTTTTTCCTGAAAGATAACTAACCGCTGTGCCGGTCACCGGGTCTGTTTACACATCCTTGTTGTCTTCAATTCCGAATAAATACGATTTTAAATATTTGCACAGCCCTTCAACTTCTCTCCTGTTTTGGTTTCTGTTGTGTTGGACGCTAGCTAGCTTTTCTGAGCGGGAGTTGGAGGTTAACCGCAGCCTGCTAGTTAGTTATTTCATTCATTGGGAGCCAGGAAGCTGCCCGAGAATTCAGTCCGCTCTTCGTACTTATTTTAAAGGGCTGCGTACCAACATGTCTTCATAAATGGTAAAAATAAACACATTTCCAGTTACTTTTGTTTATTCACGATCGTTAAGTTACCAAAAGAAAAACACTAAGCGAGTAATTCCAAGCTCACTCGGCGGGAAAGGGGAGTGCGAATGATAAACAGGAAGTGCCTGCTAGCTAGATAGACTGAACATACCTTTCACCTTCGCCTGCGTTAAAGGGGAATTCCACCTATTTTTCAGTTTTTTTACGTAATTCCGTTGTTGCGATGTAAAGTCATTCAGAGTGGTTCGATATGAATGGTCTGTTGAAGAGAAAGTTACAGACTCCGATTTCTTAGATTTCTTTAGCTACATTGGTGGTGATGGGAACCAGGGTCGCCATGGCTACAACGCAAGTGTAGCTGTTTTATTTACTATCGAAAACCATCAGTGAGCCTACACGTGTCTGTGTTTTTATATGTAACGATGATGTTAGTGGAAAATCTGGAAAAAAAACATTTTCTTTGGGGACTATTTTGCCTTATAATGCCCTGCTTGTACCCCTCCACCATGAATGGATTAAAATAAATGGATTAACAAGACGTTTTAGGCCGGAACTTTAACACAAAACGATTGTAAAACGATATTCCATGCATCAAGCAGCGTATTTATAACCATTAAACGCACTGAACTCATTGAGCTTTTCAGCCGTCTGTTTCCTATCACTACCACTGTGAACAATTCGGACTCAGTAAGTTTCTCTAGAATGAAGCATTTCACACCAAAAAACTCTGAATGACTTTGTTTGCATCTGAACCTTTTAATTATGTAGAAATTTTGAGAAATTGGTGGAGTTCCCCTTTAACTAATTAATGTCAAAATGTGAAATTTTACATTTACTTTGGTCTGTATGTTCTCTGAGCTTGCCTGAGAACAAATCTGAAGATTTTTCACATTGATCAAATCTTATCATTAAAAAGTTTTTTTTTTTTTTAATGACAGTTTATGGTATTCATTATGTTGGTCTGTAAGACTACTGATTCATTCAGGCTATAGCTATATAAAATGTAATCTCTTTAGATCAGTCAAAACAGTTTGGCATTTTCCTCACCAAAGAAAACTTAATTGTTGGACTTGAATCTTAAAATAACTCGTACATTGTTCTGGGAGTTTTATTGCATTTTCATTCAACATTTTTACTTTGTGTTCTAGGCCGGTGGCAAGGCAGGAAAAGACAGCGGCAAAGCCAAGGCGAAAGCAGTGTCTCGCTCACAGAGGGCTGGACTTCAGGTAAGCTTTCATAGTCCTTTATAAGTGCAAGGGATATCATTGCGATAATGTAGTTTCCCATAACTCTTCAAGTGACTCCATGCTCAAAAGTGTCATGAATCACTGGTTGGAAAGTAGGTTTGTAAGGGGTGGTACGGTTGTTTTAATGTCACTTTGTGGCCACTTTGCACTTATTTTTATTATGATTTATAATTTTTTCTAATGATGTGCCATTTACCATAGTAAAGGAATAGATAATAATGTAGTCACATTAACAAACATTACTAGCTGTGGAAATTCCTTTGTTGTCATTCATTCTTTCACTTATTCATTGAGTTAATAAAATGCATCGGGTGCACTTTAAAGGTTTGGATCTTGCATGGTAGTTAGTACGTTTGTTCTTTGCTTCTGTTTGTAGTTTCCTGTGGGTCGTATCCACAGGCATTTGAAGACCCGTACTACCAGCCATGGGCGTGTGGGGGCTACAGCAGCGGTGTACAGTGCTGCCATCCTTGAATATCTTACAGCTGAGGTAAATGTCGCTACTCCTCAAAATCAGTGTTTGTCAAAATATCGTAAAACCTGAATGCTGTCCATAAATGATTGACAGTAGTGATCGTTCCTTAGGTGCTGGAGTTGGCAGGAAATGCCTCCAAAGATTTGAAGGTGAAGCGTATCACTCCTCGCCATCTACAGCTGGCCATCCGTGGTGACGAGGAGTTGGATTCCCTCATCAAGGCTACCATCGCTGGTGGTGGTGAGTTGGGACTCTTTTAAATACTTGCATTCAGAGTAGTATTACAGAGCGTTCATATACATGTAGTGTTTCACATTCTGTGCAAGTTAATGCAATGAGAAGTAACTGGGCTGGACTGAACACCATTTATCTCAGACTTAAGTCTCTTAAGTCTTGTCCAAGGTGTAAGATACTGGCACGTTTTCTGTTGGGTAGAGAAAAATGTTTGTTTTGTTTCTGCAGGTGTGATCCCTCACATCCACAAGTCTCTGATTGGCAAGAAGGGCCAGCAGAAGACTGCATAATCACCATCATCGTTGCCGTGGTGACCTAGACTCAAGGATTCACGTTTGGACTGTGACCAGATCAGCTTGTGTTCATTTATTCATCCGTTTTTGTTTTATTTTACTTTTCCTTTTTTATTTTTAAATTAATATTAATGTTGTACTAGCTAACCACAAGTGATGTTAGATTGTGTTCTTGTTCTCCACAAAATTAGTTTAAAAACTGATCCCTCCGCCCCTCAAAGCTATTTTAGAGAGACTTGCAGGAATTGTGATCATCCTGTTGTGAAAGTGAATTTGTTTATTTGATTGGCCAGAGTTATGGAAGTGTTTTATACTGAAAAATGGGACTGATAAAAAAAAAGTTTTTTACAAAACTGCTTCTTGTCATGTTTAATTTAATTCCTGTTTTTCTACAGTGCTGCTAATCTGCATTCTTTCTGTGCAAAAATCCAGAGGATGAATGATGGTTATGGTGGGTCAGCTCTTACCATCATTAATGCATTTGCTCAGGTTTCAACAAAGAGTGTTAACTTGCAGGCCACCTCTGTTCCTGGAGGGCTGGAGTTCAGTATGGTTTTGTAAATTTACCTGCCTAAACACCTGGGTCATTCTATGGAAACATCCATTTTTGTGTCCCAGCATTTACAGATATATTACACTTGAAAAACCTTAAAATAAAACAATACATTATTTTAACAATTACACCTTCTTGAGCCGTCAATTTAGCAATATTGGTTTTTAAATCAATTATACAGAGTTCAAAGCACCACAGAAGTGCTTGTCCCCACAGTCGTGTGTAAAGGGTGAGTGCCATATTTTGAGGTAAAAAACTTCCTGGGATTTTAACTGCAATAATTTATACATGACTGTGAAATATGTGATTTAAATAACAAAAAAAACCATGCCAAATAAATACTATAACATATATAATGAAAGTTATGGTCCCCAGGAGTCGTGTCACTGATGTTACTGTGTAAAAATCTCTTTATTTCTAAATTACAAAATCACACTGATGACATCATTTGACTTCCTTTTACCTATTTTCTGAAGATCTATGAAGAAAAGCATGTGGTAAGTCCACTGTGTCTTCAGTTATTAGAAATTTTCTTACACTCAATATCTTGATATAAGCAACAAGCAAAGAGTTTAATTCAAGCTCTGTATTTAGCATGAGAAATACAGAAAACACTCAGTTCTTTGTTGTAACTGTATCAAATGTTCAAAATACGAAAGTGCATTATTTAAAAAATGTTCTTGTTTTCAAAATGGAGAATTTAGGATTGCTTTTAACGAGCCACTGTGAGACAGATCAGGTTAACTTTTAATATCAGCCTTTTCAGTTCTAAACATAGATAAACTGTTGAATAAACCCACATAACCAAAGATCCTTGCCACAAGACCTTCCACTGGTCAGCTAGTGATAGTTGAGGTAACATCAGTTATATCAACAATTCAGTTAACTGCCAGATCTGGTACCACAAACTGGGTTCAAGTCTGGAGATGAAGGCCTCTGGCAAAACAACAAGCTTGTTTTTCAGTTACTCCATTTTTGTTGATGTTTTGGAAAATGTCTCTCTGGGTTTATGTGCTTTGGGTACATTCTTGTGCTGAGACTAATTAGGCTTTAATGGATGCTGAAGAAACCTTGAGGATAATTTCTTAAACAGGTTAAAAGTGGAAACGGTTTTTCGGTTTGTTTACTTTGTTTCTCTCCAGGTTCATTTACTAATTTCTTTTTTTGTACCTTTTTGTGCAACACTCAGAGTACGTTCAGCATCTGAGTGGAAGTGTTCACTTCAGTGGTCATTCTGATCCTGTCCGACTGACCTGGCTATTTGTTTTAATAAACTGCAAAACAGTGGACAACAACACTGCTAAGTGCCACAGGCTTACTCATTATGTGTTTCTGATGAAGGAACAGCATGCATAAAGCATTCAGAAGGTCATTTTCCAGGGATACGTGAACTGGAGGGAAAATTACGGGAACTGCATGGCAGCTGAGAGCTGGTGGTCCGGTTTTGCCATGACAGATTACTTGTGTGTGTGAGCTTGGTGTTATGGACCATCACTAAGTGATATTCTGTTACTGAGTAAACAGAAGATACATGTAGGAATAATCAGTCAGCTACTAGTTATGGCTGTTTATATGTTTATGTTGTCAACCCATTTGTTCAGCCTATCTATTTCACTGAACAGAAATCTGTTTAAAGTCAAAATATTTTCTCAATATCAAAGGGGAATTCCACCAATTTTTCAAATTTTCAGCAAATTTCAGTCACTGAGATGTAAAGTCATTCAGATTACCTCAATGTGAAATGGTTAACTGTAAAGAAACTTACAGTTTCTTACAAACTTAAAGTTTTTTGGGGGGCTATTTTACAACATCCTGCATATGCCTCTCTGTCATGAATGGATAATAAAATATATAATTAGGCCAAAACCTCTCAACACTATTATAAAACAATGTTTCAGGGATCGTGTAGCATATTCATAACAGTTTCATGTAATAGCTTAAGTTGTGAGGCAGATTTTAAAAGCAATAAATGCATCAGACGCCTGGTTCCTATCAGCACCAATGTGATCAATTCTGACTCTTTTTGCGTTGAAGTGGATGTGTTAGAATCAGAAAACACTAGAACCGTCAACACTAAAAGAACCATTTTAATGCATAAATGGATTTTTGCATGACTAAGTGGTTCTTCTGTGTGATGCAAAACCATAATTAATGATTCTTTAAAGAACCTTTTTAAAATGGTTCTATTAGCATTAACACAGGTTCAGCCATTATTACAATTCAAATAATTTTTTACTATACACAACCATTTTCACTAAGAGTGGTATAGAGTCATTTATAACGTTAGTTATATTATGTTAATTAGAATAACAGCAAAGGCCAGAATTAGTCCAAATTTCTTTACTAATGTTTAGCAATGTTTAGTTAACTGGGAAATCCTAATTTGATTGTTATCTATAACCGTTTAATTTTAACTGATTTGCACAAACTGCGGAAATCTGCACAATTTTTAAATATGTTTTAATCATTTTAAGCCAAGGGAGAAAAAAACAAGTGAGGTTTAAACCAATTAAAACACGGGGTGGGAGGAGCTGGATCAGGTCTGGCTCCGCCCCCTGAAGCGTACGTTGTGTCGCGCGAGCAGCTTTGGATGTGACCGTTAAAAGCCACAAGCCACAGCTGCGGACGTTGTAAGCTACCGTTAGGCGCCAATGCCGCATGTTGTTATGTTAAATCTCGTCAAAATGTCTGTCTTACATTCGTTACTGAGACGACGGTGTTGTGTGCTTGTCGACACCGGAAATTTCAGTACAGAAAAACCGAAGACTTGGCAGCACCGAAAGCACAATTGTCTCGATCTGTCTCATAAATCTGTAAATGTTATATGAGAAAATAAACCACACACAATGGCATTTTCACTAATCATTACCCTGCAGTCTCGCCTGTGAGCGGCTCTTTAAAGGAGCGGATTTTCGTAAAAACACCGAAAAAATAAAACTACAGCTGAGTTCTGTTTTCGTAGCCACTCGGCGCATTCAGATAAGCAGCAGCACAGTCAGCACAGCACTGACGTTTTACCGCCTCCTAGCGGCCAGTCGCCGCATAATTCTAGTTCTGTGAGGATGCAAACACACTAAAGACAGTCGCAAGCAGCGATGTAGGAGTTTCAGGGACGAAGGAGCCAAGTGGGGCACATGGACAACGGTGTAATGTTTGGTGAGAAGGGTCTAAATAACTGCAGAGCCGCAGACCCGCGCTCTCAGACCCGGGTATGATCTTACATACTGGTCGAGAGACTCAGTACAGTGGCTACGTTACGCACTATGGCTGAGTCCCAAATGGCTGCGTAACGTAGCCACTGTACTGATACCCTTGTAGGAACCCTTAAACACTATGGCTCCGTATGAGTCCCAGATGGCTCCGTACTCCCTACATAGTGTGCTAGGTGAGTTATGAAAGTTCGGACTTATGCACAAAAGCAATGCATTATATATCTTGTAGGGAACTGTGCACATAGAGCTGAATCTCAAATGGCTCTTTGTTAGACGTATTGTTCACTGTTTGGGTGCCGGAGTCACTATTTTAAGACCTACGTAGTGCACTAGATTGGCTGTGTGAACCAGCGGCCAATCAGTAATGATTTACACCCGATCATGCTGAACGGCAGCCTGCAGCATCAAAATAGACTTGTAGTACTGAAAGAACCAAAAATGGTACTATACATACAAATAGTTTCTCTGTTTAAAATGGTCTATCTAATCTAACACTCTCTGTCTATTAATATCCATTAATAACTTAGAACAGCGTTTACAGCTATCAGAAGTAGATAACACAGTACTGCCAGGGTGATCATCACATACACAAAACGAATAAAATATGGGAAAACTGAGAGGAAACTAAAATAACTGAAATAAACAGATAATTTAACCAAGAAAAGTCTTTATAAATGTTGTAAGATGCCAGCAAAAGAACAGTTTTAACAGCTTTTGGATTTTTTAAAGTAACAGTAGTATTTTTATACAGCTTCATACAGCTATTATAAAGCTTTCATTTAAATAAGGAGAAATTTCTTACTTAAATGAAATTTAAATAATTTGTAAATTTGCATTTGTGAATTTGACATTTTGCTAGAAAAAAAAAGATTTAAAACATAATACATGCAAAGTTTGTCCGTTTCATAATCATGAAATCCAAACAGTGCTTGTTGAAAGTGAACATAAAACCCACAAATGCTGCACAAATGCTAGTTTTAATTGAGTTTAGAAGATCAGAGTTTCTCTGTGTGGCTGCAGAACCAAAATAAATGAAGGGCTATTTTATCACAGACCTTCACAAAAAGTACATTTGGTATTATTAGGCCTCATTCACCAACTGTTCTCAAGAAGAAATTTCTTTCTAAAACCCACTTATGCAGTTTTCACAAAGATTGTCATTCACCAGTGTTTTCTTATCTTCTGTGGTTTAAGAACTCGTCATGAATCTGATGTAGACTTTTCCTTAGGGCCTTTCTCAAGAACAAATTTAGGAAACTTAAGAAGATGCTGGTGAATGAGGCCCATTGTCTTTTTAAATTCTCTGATAAAGCTTTCTATTGGGGTAAAATCTATGAATTAACCTGAAAGACACTTCCCTCACTTTATTGTATAAAGGTTTCAACCAACCTTTTCCAATTTAAGACAACATAAGGGGACTGTAACAGTATTCCTCTGAAACAAGTTCATGGTTGTTTTGTTCTTCTTACGCAGGCTGGGTGAAAAGAATATTCATCCAACATCCAAAGAACCAGGATCCATATTTAAACCAACAGCAGCTGAATCAGGTTATTGACCTTGCAGAAGCGTGACAGCACCTGAAGGTATGGCGTCAAACATTACAGCAAACTCTTTTGGAGTAACAGTTATTTTGTATTTTGCCAAAAAAAAGCATCAACCATGCTAGAAACACTTTTTTTTTAACTTAACTTAATAGCGATTTTATTAATGTCATAATTACACATTAAAAGAAATGCAGAACCACCTATTCTGAAGAAAATATGGTAAAGGATGAGATTTCAAATAGAAAAGGGACTCTTAAGAAATTGTTTAAGCCAGTTTATTTTACAGGTGTAGATAAGCTTTGAGAAATCCAGGAAATTCAAGCCTTCACTTGTGTTTGTGTTCATCATAACAGATCTCTTAATATAATGAACTTTATTTTCCTGTGAAAACTGGTTATGCTATGTCCACCTGTTTTGAGTCAGAGTGTTAGTCGTTGGATAGATGACTGTGTGAGAACTTTTGAGCCGTTTGAAAAGTCATGTTCATGTTTTGTCACCCTCTGCTGGCTAAAGTGTGCTAAAGTTTGTAATCTGGCTCAGAGCAGCATAGCACGCAGGATAGTGAGGCTTGGAGAGGGAGTGTGCATGAGTGTGAGCTGTGTTCATACACTTACTTCCTAAGGAAGTGCTGAGGATGTAGAGTTACTGCCCACTTAAGGTTTTTGGTGTGTGGTACTCATGTTGTAATGAAATATCAGGATATATTGATAACTGTTAAATATGAGTGGTTTGAGAAATTTGTGAATTTGTGAAAGTTGTGAATTTTTCAGTTGCGGCTTCATTATATAATTCAGATGTAAACAGAGTCTCTCAGAGTGCACTCTTAGAAAAAAATGTTTGAAGCTGTCACTGGGGCAGTACAACTCTTCTCACTGTGGTGGTGCCTTCAAGGGTTACATCTTAGTACCTTTAGTCAGGGAACATAATTCATAATCCACTGAAATCATATTTTCTAAGTTGTATTGATTCCACACACCCCGTCTCGTCTCCAGGCTTTTTAGTTTATTGTTCTGTTTTAAAATATTAGGTTATGAAAAATGAAAAAGGTACAAATATGAGCGAACATTTACATTGTTTGTGCCTTAATGACCGAAAAATGTACCTGCACAGCACCTTTATTTCTAACAGTGTGGTTTAAAATAAGTGGTGCACTGTAACTAAACTTAGAAAGTCAGAAATTGTTCACAGTGGTGGTGATAGGAACCAGACGTCTAACCAGATCAGATATCTAAAAGCTGAAATCACCGAAATCACTGAAATCAGTGAAAGTTGCATGCACTGGTTATAAACACATTCCCTGATGCTTGAGACCTTGTTTAATGACAGATGGCCTAAAATGCATTTTTTTTAAAAATACATCGAGTTTTAGATCTACTACTATTTTACCATCATCAAAATTACATATAAAAGCTCAGAAGACCAGATATTTTGTGACTATTAAAATTCAGACTTGCGAGTGGTTTGAGAAATTTGTGAAGATTAAGGCTGTGTTTTGAGAACAACAATTTTTTCCCCCTCAAACTCAAACAAGTGGACAGAGCTTAAAGTTCCAGGGAACACAGAGTAAAATATAAAAATATTTGTATGATTTAAAACTTGAGTGTTATATTAAACATCTGGCAAAGCTTAATAATAAAAGATATAATATGATAAAACACAGCTTAAAAACCACTGATCAGACCTATCTGTGTGGGTGTGGCTAATGAGCAGTTTGATTGACAGCTCTCTGCCCAACACTCTCCACCTGCTCTGCCACTCATACAGAACTGAAATCATTATCCAGCTTTTATGTGACTGGACAAAAAATGTCATGGACAAAGCAACACATGAATGAAGGAATGGACAAACGAACAATGTTCATGTGTGGATAAACGAATGACTGGGCGACAGGCAGCTACAGACAGGTCGTCTGGCTTGCTAGATTTTGGTTATGCTGGGTTAACTTTAGCTTGCTCAGTTTCTCTGACTCTGAAACTGTTTTGTATGGGCGGGCATCAGCTTTGTGATTGGTCTTGAGAATGCTTACAGAAGCATTATCCAAGATTAGGAGGCCTAGTTTACATCAAGAGGAGAGAAATATGGTGAGTTCATTGGTCATTGGAACATTAGTCAAGGGGTAGACTTGGTGAATGTTTACTGTAAGATTAACCTAATTAAAAAGAAAGCACAGATTTGGGTTCCCTGGGTCTTTAATGGTCCCACATAGAACATTGATTCCGTTTTTTTCAGACCAAGTACATGTTTTTAAGTACTTGCTGATTCCAGTACCATACTGGGTAACCTGCTTACTATTAAATAGTTGTTAGTGTAAATGAGCGCAATGTACCTGAACAGTTAAATCATTAAAATCTATCTGATTTTAAATGAAGTGCAGTAGTTTACCTTGAATCGAGTAGCGCTGCAGTGGAGACGAGCAGGTTTTCTTCCACATTAGAAAAGCACTTCTGTACAGCTGTAAATGAAGAGACTTACATGCTCACACTTTATGAAAACACTGATTGAAATGCTACGTGAAATGCAGTTTTTATTTCACATTTCTGGACTGTATATATATATATATATATATATATATACATATATTTCTTTATTTAAATTACAAACCGAAAGTGGGTGTGGCTTAACCAAGAAATGGGTGTGAGGTTCTGGACATGGGTAAATTTACATGCTTTCAGAGTGTAATATAGATAGCCAATCACCAGTCTAGATTTTGGAATAAGCCTATAAGCTTATTGGCTCACTGCTCACTACTCACTGTTGGCTCGCTACTCACTATTGACTACTTAAGTATTGGTTAATTTGGTATTTACTGATGTGGAATTTTTTCGGTGCCCTGTATTATTGAAGTAACTTGGTCAATACCATAAAACACTCACATTACATTGTTGCTCTACAGTGCTTACTGATTCCAGTGAATATTTCTTACTGTCCAAATTACAAATTGTCAATTTAAACCTCAGATCTCAGTTTTTATTGTTTATTATTTTTACAAAGTTTGAAAATGTTAGCTGTCCTTTACAATGTGTGAAATTTTCAGAATGAATGGCACAATAGAAATTCTCCAAAATGACTTGAAAAAAAGCTTATTCTACTAACTTCCATTCAAAGTTAAGATTTTTCCTTCTCCTGTTTGGAGATATGAGGTTTTGTCACAAAAGCAAAACGCAAACTTGCTAAAGTTACACAATCAAATGGGCATAATATCATAAGCAGTCAGGCTTATGGTGATGTGAGTGTCTTAAGCTTTTTAATGCTCTTTTTCTTAATGCTTACCATTTTTCAGTGCTTCACCTTTCAGGCCCTATTAAAATTACTTCAGACAGATGGTCCAAGGGGAAAAAAAGTTTAATTACAGAATCAGTAGATGCTTGCTGTGTCCTGAATTACAGAGTAGACTGCATTGGTTATCCATCAGTGAAATAATGGAACATGGTAAACAATTATAATGTAATTATGCGTTATTTTCAGGGTTTGTACTCTCTAACATTGAAACTTTATGTACATACATTTATTGAATAAAAAACATTTTTGTTGTGCATACAGACGTCATAAAATAACCCATTGTAAGAGACCATTAAAAAATAGAAATTTCTATTCAAAAGGCTCCAAAGAAATATTCAAGTACAAATTATTAGCAGTATGAATCGCAAATATGAAAAACCACCTATTGAACTAGAAGGACTATGGCTCACAGTCATACTATGTACAGCTTTTTAAAGAGATTCATTAAGTACACATAATACATGTAAAGTATAGGCTTATATTGGGTCGATGGTAAATTTGGTACCACCATATTAATGGCATTACAGCCTGATACCAACACTTTTTCAAAATTTCTATACAATTCAGTCATTAAGATGTAAACAAAGTGGTTTGAATGTGGCATTCTAGAGAAACTTACAATCAGAAGTTAGACCTATTCACAGCAGTGATGAGAGGGATCAGACATACTTTGTAAAGCTCCTGTATGAACTTATTGCATTAAATGTTTATATACATGGGCTATTGCCTGATACGTTGTTTGATAACAGTTTTAAGATAAAGTTTTGGTTTAAAATGTATTTTTTAAATACATTCATGGTAGAGAGGTGCATGCCAGGCATTGTAAGGCAAAATATCTTTTTTACCACTATTTTATCATCATTAACATAACAAATCAAAACACAGAAGACATGTAGCAAATAACTGGTGTTGTAGACATCATGACCCCTGGTTCCTATCACCACCACTGTAAAGAAAATCTGAGTAGGTGACGTTTCTCTACAGTCGACTATTTCACTTCAAACCAGCCTGAATGATTTCATTTACATCTCAGCGAGTGAATTGTACATAAATTTTGAAAAATTGATGGAATTTCCCTTTATCCTCAACAATTACTGAAGAGATTTATATATTTTTACAACTTTTGCAAAGTGAAGGCTTGCATATGTACTTGTTTTACATACTTTGCAAATTGAAGGCTTCCAGTCTTCAGAAGATTTACGTTTTTAAACGTACAGTCAGTTCACACATCTGAATTTACTTATCAGTCTATTGCAGTTATGCACAACCAACACCAGGAGGAACCAGTGGTGCAGTCTGATGTCCTCGTTTGTGCTCTCACAGTTTTTCCTTGTCAGCTGTTGGACTTTTAAAGCTTGGAATGGAACACAAACTAGTAGCCTATTTTGCCAGATAGCAACTAGTGTATGGAGCTTTGAGCTGATGGAATCTTCTTATCTGCAGTTCTAAAATCTTGTCTGCAGTTCACACATCACCTTTCATCAGCACCACTTGAAAGTCTGCCCCACCATCCTGAAGAAAATCTGATTGGGCACCCAGAGGTATCGGCAGAGTTTTTGGAATGCTTTGTTACTGAGGGGTGCATGTGGCCTCCCTTTGGAATCATCAAGGCACTTATCATGTCCTTCAGAAAGCAGGCAGTAAAACCCTTTGGTGGTGTTGAAGTAGAAGTTGTCCGGCGTTATCTGTGGAGGAAGTTCTAAGAACTTCTCAGCTTTCTGTAGCTCAGGGAACGGGTCCCTGGATCAGCGCCTCTCCATCCACGATGTGGATCTGCTCCCTGGGGAACAGCTCCAGCCACCTGGCCATGTGTTGGTGATAGAGGCTCCTCTGGAGGGCCTTGTAGCTGGGGTTGATTCGCCCCTGGCGCAAGAGCAGCTCCTCTAGAGGCTGGTAGGGCTTGTTCTGCTGAAGCCGGTTGTGGAGAACTTGTGTGTAGTCTGACACGAGTCTCTCAGCTGGATCACGGACGATTAGAAGAAGCTTTACGGCAGGGTTTGCTGACCACATCCTGCCCGGAGCCAAAGGTGCTGTGAAGTAGCCAGGTGTTTTTTCCACAGTCACTTGCCCAGGCAGGGTGAGGGGCATCTGGGCGCGGTACCAGTCCAAACCCTTGCGAAAGTTTTCGTCCAAGTTGAAGTAGTGGACCTCAGCCTTGGCTACCTCAACGTCTGGGTGAAGGTTGAGCATTTCCAGCAAGGCCCTGGTGCCGCCCTTCCGGACCCCGATGATGATGGCTCCTGGCATGCGGCGCAAGGCTGTGGCATTCTGGGCCTGAGCCGGAGTCTCAGAGGTCACAGAAGTCACCGAGGTCATCAAGGTCGCAGATCTTAGCTCACGCAAGCACACACATAGTTGGGCCTGGAGCACCAGCAACAGGATCAGCGCCAACAGAAGAGTCCACAACATGGCGAAACTTCAGTCAGGTCAAGGGTAGCACGTTCAGAAACACTCAGCAGGGAGGGGACACGATCGCAGCTGGAGGGCACGGACACACTGGTACACAACAGCTGTCGACGGCCGCTGCTGCAGCTCAGTGCTGTAGATACCTGTGAAGAAATGCAAGCAAGATAAGATTTTTAACAGGAATATATTTTAGATGAACAGAGTAAAGTCACGTATTATAAGTCATCAAGAGATGTCACAGTGTGTTAAAGGGCCCATATGATGGAAGAATTTTAAAGTGCACCATACACTCCCCAGTCCATAGGGTCCATATATGAAAACTCAGCTGCCAAAACAGTCTCTTTTGAATTTATCATGTCCATTTATGATGATCTGTATCCACCTATTCAGCTTGCATCAGGTTAGCTCCGCCCATTCACGCTGAAGTTAATAAGGAGTGTCCCAGCTTGGATGGCTTTTCAGAGCAGAGGTCATTTACAGTCTTGTGCAAAATTCAGAAACATCTATTAATTTACTTAATTTCTAGTCAGAATGGCCATTAGGTACAAGTTATTCATTTTTCTGTGCCAGGATAAAGTCAGAAAAGATACATATGTACATATGTATAATTTCCTTTCAATATTTTCAGTATTTTCAATATTATAGTGTGCCCACTCTTTGTCTGTATTTCAGATTCTTTTTAGGAGACCTACTTCCAGTTTTTCAAAGAAACTTGCAGGGATATTTTTCCACATCTCCAAAGTTCTGTCTTAGAAGTTGGTTGCATTTTTTGCTCGTTCAGTGATGTTGAGGTCTGGACTCTGGGTTGGTCAGTCTGTGTTCTGAAAACACCAGCAGCATTTTTTATTTATTTATTTATTTTTTAATTAGCAAATTTGCTTTTCTGAGTAAGGGCTTCTTGATAGCTGCACATCCTTTCAGACCCGTAGTGTTAAGTTGAAGGATGGCAGAAACACCTGTGTTTTTTTTTCAGATGTAAAGCAGTAGTGGAGCTAGGCTGTCTTCTCTCTCTCAAAGATTAAAGCTTTTAGTGCTGTTTATCACATGGGGAGTTTAGGTAGTCTTCCTGGTCCTGCACAGATGTTAGGAGTCTAAATTTCTCTATCACAGCATCCAAAATCACATACTGCCATGTTAAAAAGTAGGTCAAAACTAGTGCACCACTTGTAGAAGTCAGTTCATTGGTCTGATATGTATAGTATAGCAGTTTGAATTTTTGGATTGATTTTCTTTTGACGTTCCTGTTTCTTATGCAAGTACATCATTTTATATGTAATTTCTCAGAAACATCTCCTGAAAAATAGATGACTTTAACTTAGTGGTAGTTTTGACTAGAAATGAAACAAATAAAGATGTTCTCTGACTTTTTCACCATACTGTACATATATCAGTATTAAAGGCACAGTAAAAAACAGCCTGTTTATTTTTAAGGGATAAAGAGAGATTAGAAAGTGGCCATGAATATTGAATTATGACTGTTTTTGTTCATAAACCTGCACAATTGTCACAAAAGGTCCTCACAAGAGACCCTTTTCGGAGCAGTATTGTGGAACAGTGTGTTAGAGCATATCATCGCCGTCAGATTTTTTGCGGTTTTGCATGATTTGAAAATATCAGCAAATGCTTAAACATTTGATGTCAACTGGAGCAATAACAATCATCTTTCAGAATATCGCTATTTGAGTGTTAAATTGCTGTACTAAAGTGATTTTAGTTTTTTTAAAGGTAATCTATAAAGTCAAGAGAATAATTTCAAAAATGTTCACAAAGAACAAAGAATTGCCCTTAGCGTCTGACTCCCCTTTGTGTTATATTAATAAAGTGAAAAGAGCTCTGTGTAACTGGTAGTAGGAATAATATTCTCTTTGTGTGATTTAATTAACATTGCTATTAAAATGCCGCCAGAGGAAGCACATTAAACATTAATTCTGAAAGCAACGCTTGCACTTGCAGAAATCCCAGGAGGCCGAAGAGCCCTGTTATTAGAATCTTTTACTTCTGTCGCCTTCTAGTGATGAATGATAGAACTACACCCAGCACTGCTGACAGAACAGACCTGGTGGTTCACAGCTGTTTACTCAGTTCCATAGTTAAGTAACATTTGGATGAATTTGTGCTTTTCTGAGCATTTTTTCAAATGATGATATTTTTTATTCTACTCAGGTATGTTTGTGAGGAATCGGTGCTTTCATTAGTTCTCTGTAGTTCTTCATGATTAGTTTCTAATTCCTTTTTGGGTTTAATTTCATGCTGTTCAGGTAAATCTGCACCTGTTCTGCTTTGCTGTTGCACATATCTCTCACTCGCAAGCTTTATGAGTTTATTATGGACCAAGGGGATGCCAAAAACAGACGAACAGCACATGATAAACTTTAGCTTCCATGCTAAAGAGATGCTAGATGTTACAGAGCCCTGCTGGTCCCTCTTAATGAAAATAATGCTTGAACACGACTCCCTAAGGTGTGGTAACAGGATAGTTAAAGGCCTTGCATAATGGAGAATCAAATTTTCCTTACTTTTTTTAAATGAAAAGTTTGATGTAGTATGTAAACATGATTAATGTTTCAAAACATATTGTTCATTCCTCAGTCCATACAGTTCATATATGAAAACTAAGCTGCAAAAATAGCTTGACTGTGATGTCACAACAACCAAGACATCCACACATATCCACCTGTTCAGTCTATAGAAGTTTAGCCCTGCATATACACACTGAAGTTATAAGGGGTGTTTCAGCATGGGCTGCTTTTGGAATAAAGCACAGTACAGCGCTGCCGATCAGAAAAGACTTCATGTACATATATCAGTCATAAAGGCAGAGTAACAAAAACATCTTAGGATAAAGAGATGTTGGAAAATGGTCATGTAAAAATGAATTTGGATAGTTATTGGTGCACAAACTTGCACAAATGTAACAAGTAGACCTTGCGTAAACACAAGCAAAATGTAGGATATGGGTCCTTTAAATCTTAGCAAGTTCTAAACGGCACGAGACAGTTTAGTCATGGCCACGCTTGAAGGATCTTGGGGCTCTGCAGGATGTGCTTAGTTCCACTTCAGTCCTAAATGGGACTCAGTAATTTTTTACTCAAGTTTTGTTTAAGAAGTACTTTTACTTCTACTTGAGTCATTATTTCTATGAAGTAATAATGCCTCTACTTTAGTGTGGTTTTAGGCTACTTTGACCACCTCTGGTTGTCTCCCTGTTGAGTTGGGGTTATTAATTTGCTCCTTCTCCGGTCTGGAGCAGAGAGCCAGTGTAAACATGCTGTTCCTCCACATGCTGTCTAATTGCACCGCTGGGAGTCGCTGTGAAGCCCCTCAGCACATGCACTACAGCACGCAAACCTCATCATCATCATTACAGCTACATTACTGCATCATCAACTTCCGTCATTATGAAGCGAGTTGTCCACAGTAATGGCTCTCACTTTGTTCCCCAGCCAAACGGCTGTTAACCTGAAATATCACAGGCTATCAGTCTGTGGCCTGTGCAGTCAGGGCAGTGATTTGAGACATTATAAACATCAGTTCGGATTCTGGGCTAGTTTTTTCAAAGCTTTCCGTGCCACAATAAAGTGCTGTGGTTCAATAAATTGAGTGGATTCGGGTATTATGTGACACCAGGGGGATACTTTTAATAAACTCTAGTTTATTCCAGTGCCATATGATGCTGTCTAGAGGATTCTTTTAAATGAGCAAAAGGAAACTGTGTAAACAGACTCATTAAAAAGTGTTTTTAGAGGGAAAGTGAATAATGAAAGGCGTTATCATTTAGGGCCACATATGACCTAGAGTCACTTATGACCTGACATGCTGTCCCACGACACTATTTCATAGATTTGGGTAATCTAATGATGTTACATTGTTATGGTAATTTGTTTTCAATGGCTGTTTTTAAATGTGGCACTACTATTGTATTGAGTCTGTGTGATGTACACCGACTGGCCACTTCATTAAGTCCATCTCCTTGCATCTACACTCTTTGTCCATTTTATCGACTCCACTTAATGATATAAGTGCACTTTGTAGTTCTACGACTACAAATTGCAGTCCATCTGTTTCTCTGCATGATTTGTTAGCCCCCTTTTACCCTGTTCTTCAGTGGTCAGGACCACTTCAGAGCAGGTATTATTTGGGTGGTAGATCATTTAGCGTGTTAACATGTATTACGCTGTTATGAGTGGATCAGACACAGCAGTGCTGCTGGAGTTTTTAAACACGGTGTCCACTCACTGTCCACTTTGTTAGACACACCTACCTTGTTGGTCCACCTTGTAGGTGTAACGTCAGAGACAGTAGCTCATTTGTTGCTACACAGTTTGTGTTAGTTATCCTCTAGTGCTTTATCAGTGGTCACAGGACGCTGCCCATAGGACGCTGAATGCTGGCTCGTTTTGGCTGGACTATTCTCAGTCCAGCAGTGGCACTGAGGTGTTTAAAAGCTTTGCCTGATCCACTCATGCCGGTGCAACACACATTAACACACCACCACCATGTCAGTGTCACTGCAGTTCCGAGAAAAATCCACCACCCAGATAATACCTGGTCTGTGGGGGTCCTGACCACCGAAGAACAGAGTAAAAGGGGGCTAACAAAGTATACAGAGAAACAGATGGACTACAGTCTGTAATTGTAGAACCACAAAGTACACCTGTATGGTAGGTTGAACTAAAATAATACAATGAGTGTTGATACAATGAAGTGGCAGGTCGGAGTGTATATCGTGAATATGTCTTTAATTATTGTAACATGATATTTATGCCATATTGCCCACCCCTACTGTTCTGTATAATCTGATGTTCTGTATAAATCGTGTCTCAAAGCGAAGGCTGCAGCCGAGTTAGGAGAGATCTTGCTAGCACGGGTATACAAAAGCTCCTCTTCTGTTCTCATTCATGCACGTTGGAGAGAGCAGCAAGCAGGCTGTACTGACACTTCACAGCTTACTGACATGCAGTGTGGAACGTTTTAACTTACGTTTAAAAACAAGACATTAAAATGTATATTTCATATCATTTCACTACAAACTCTGGTGCTGCACATAGTTACACATTGTCTTGTGCTGTGTGTGAAGGATTGTGGGTGATTAAAGGTCTAGAATGATACAACAGTTAAGTCAGAAACAAGAAACAAAGGATAG